GAATCATTTACTCACTGGCTTCTCCCTTAATACTTCAGATTCTGGAGGCAGCTGATAAGACCCAGGCTCTGGACATGAAGAAGCACTGCCTGCACATTATTGTCCATCAGTTCATTAAGGTGGGTGGGCTTGTATCCGGAGCCCTGGGGGTTTGCTGCCCACTCACTGCAGCTGAGCTAACCCTGTAGGCTCATCTTCTTTGCTGGAGACTGACACCTTTGGCCTCCTAGTGGATCACCCTCCATCTTCTACTTAGAGAGGAGACTGTTTACAGCCCAGCCGGCTGTACAAGCACCTCATCACACAGCGATGAGGGTCAAAGTGCCACACTGATTATTGTTTGTTATTCAAAGAAGCACTCGATCGTCACCCTGCCTCACTGTAGTGTTTGCTCTGTTGTTAATGTTTCTGCTTCTTTCTGTTTATCTTCATTTTTATGCATGAGCAATCAAGTGCTGCTTATTCCTCATTTTACTCTGTTGGACTCATTGTCTTGTCTTAATTTATGAATCATTTTTTTCATTTTTTGCTCTCCTCCCCTCCCAAAGGTATCCAAGCTCCCCAACCTGCGGTCTCTCAGCCAGCTGCTGCTGTTGGACATCATTGAGTCCCTAGCTACACACATATCAGACAAACAGTGTGCAGAGATGGGCTCCGACATTTAGGATGACGCGGAAAGCTGGGCTCTTTTCTCCTCTCACAGAAGCCATACATCTCCGCTCCACCTACTTTTAGTCATTCCCTCCTCCCCAACACGCAGTACTTTTCTTTATGTTGTCCCTCGCATGTCTCGACCCACATACAGTAGAGATGCCCTTCTATCCACGCGGTGTCAAGTTGTTTCTCACTCTGCGTCTCGATTAGGAGTTAAAGCAGTGAGGAAACCAGATTCTAGCTCAGTTACAATTTGTTAAATTGTATAAAATATCCCCTTTATGTTTATTTATTTTGATTACAGAAGGAAACATTTGCAAGGTTTCTCTCTGTTCAGTATTGCTGCTGCATTTTTTTAAAAATAGATATGCAGTGGACTGTAAAAATTTATATTTGTGACACTATAGAAAGCTTCAGGTGTTGCCCTCAGCTGTTATCTGCTCAGATACATCCTCAGCCATTTAAATGCAACGTGATCAAAGTATACCATTAAATGGATTATCTATGAACCTGTATTCATCACTTGTATTATCCTCCGCTCTGACACAGTTTAAAAAGCCAGGATTAAATGTTATAAGGAATCAAAATCATATGAAAATAATTATAATGTATGTCTGTCTTGAAGCAATTTGTTTTGTTTAATGTTTTTGTCATTGGCACACATCTTTGTGATACTAATCACCTCTTAGCATTACTAACAGACAAGCTGTCTCTGTCCATTCAATATAGCAATGTGTATTTAGTAACATCAGTATGCTGTTATTAAACATTTACCCACATGGGTTTCATGTATTTAAAGCCTTAATAAATCTTATAAAAAATGACCTATGTTGTACGGAGTCTCTGTGGTGCTGCGGCACTCTGAACTCTTGTGAAACACACCCTCACAAAAGTCTCATTTTCTTAGAGCTCACAATGTGCCTCTTAAACTGTCTGTTACAAGTAAACTACCCTATTACTAACTGCAGTCAGTAAGGCTGCCGTCATAAATCTTCTGGACCCTTGGCAGGCGACACCATTATGTAGTCCCGACGTGACTTACCTTTACTTTCCTTTGAGCTACCTTAGAAGGGACAGTTCACACCTAACAAAAGTACGTATTTTCCCAAGGGGTACACCATCTTCCTTGTTAGCAAAACGCCCCTTGTTAACCTGTCATCCCTGGGCATCTGGGTCTGGACCCAGACACTGGGGAAAAAGGAGATTCATAGCTCTCTAATAATTTAAGTACTGTTATTTTGCTCCAATTATTGAGCAAAATACGACACATTACGTCATGACTATCACCGAGCCATGGTTTTGAGATAAAAGCCTTTAAGGTTTGTAGTATGATGGCCGTAAAGACACATGACAGAACCATTTTGCCACCTAAATGGGGAGGGCATACTGTATGATGGAGGTTGTCCTTAAGTGAAAAATACACAGAAAAGCTGGGGGAAACTTATTTTGTAGCTAACGAGGTAAACAAAACTAGCATACCCAGAACACTGTGCAGGAAGATGACAAAATATGTCGGAAGAACTGCAGTCGCTCTGACAAACAAAGTAAGCATACATACCGAGCTAGCATAAACAATTAGCAATGGACTTCATATGAAAATATTCACAACTTAGATACATTTTGTTATAAAAAACCCTTCTGATTCTTTGATAGGTGGACCCTCACTGACGAAAGGAATGTAAATAATCAAGGAATGGACACTTTTGGACTACACGACCACTCACACTGACACGAGCATGAGCCTCCTCCAACGTGGAAGTGCCAAAAACTACAGTTCCTTGAATGGCCAATTGAGACTTGCTCCAGAAGTGAGTCAACTTCCACAGACGCTCATGTTAAAATGCCCAAATTTTATGTCAGAAATGAATATGTTTACATTAGGGCTGCACAATATGCAAACACAAATCATATTGTGATTATTCTGACAGTGAGTTTGCGACATGAGTCGGGATTTTAGTCAAATTTCTGCAATTAACTTACACTGCAAAATTTCACATAAATGATGATACTGTTATTTTTGCTGGGGTCTGTATCAAACATGCATGTTCCCATATGTCTGGAATATGATTAGTAGGTCAGGACATCTTCCTAGCACCACAAGGCTTTGTTTATAATGGTATGTTGTGACACATTTAACATTTATTTCTAATGCTGCTCCTGCGACTTGTATACTGCCATATTATGATTTCAGTAACATTGTGATTAATTGTCCGGCCCTAATTCAATTCAGTGTTACAGCCTAGTTGACAGTTAACAAAAAAAAGGTTCTGGTCTCTATAGCTAAATTCCCTATTCATGACAACCTTACAGTGAGTGAATATTTATAGTTCTCACCCATTTACATTTTATTAAGGCTTTAAGTTACATGTTATTAAGGGCGGGCCATTTTGAGCGACAGGCTGTCTGAAAGGGATCACCACAGTCCACCCTTCATTCCTCCACAGCTCCAGACTCTCGTTCAAATATAGTCACTTCTGGCTCCAAAAAACCAAGATGGTGACAGCCAAAGTGCAAGACACAATGCACTCAAGCCTTCAAAACCACTGGGTGACATCAAGGACATGCTTTCTTCTCAAGGTGATATGGTTTGTATGCGTAGTTTGGTAGAAAGTTCCTACATGAAACTGCTCACAACAAGGTGTGTGGATTATCTTGAGTAACTGGGTCATGATTTCTGGAAAGAGACATTGCTGCTGAGTTTTCTAATGTATTTATTTTTGGCCTTTTGAGCACCATAAGCCGAGTGCCACCTACTTCCATTATATTCAAGAGAAGGCATACATCTCTGCAGCTGATATCTCCAACACTTGGCAACTCACATCCAAACAATGTAGACTCATATAGCACTGCAGGTAAGAGGAAAAATATATTTTTAATAGAGGTGAACTGTCCCTTTAAATCCAACACTCACCCAACCAAAGAGCAGATACTTTGCATCATTTCCAGGCCCTACATATACACTGTATCTGCTGAGGCTAAACTTCCCCACAGACTTGACAGGCAGTTTTATCTGAACTACATGGTCCACTCACCAGTCCAGACATCTACCCTGCTTTGTGATATTAATGATAGTTTTTATTAAAACCAGTTTTCTCAAAGTAAGCAACTTGAGATATAAATATGAACTCATACAGTTTCTTTCAGAAGTCTCACAAATATTAGTTTAATACTGGCACATATCTGAAATCCTTAGACAGACCTTCGCCATGAACTAAAGCCATTGTAACCTACACACTATATGTGAAAAAGCTGAAGGTTAATCCTTGACCTTTCATCAAATTAGCCACATCCTTCAGGGGTTTCAGTTTCCACAGATCTATGGATGATAAGGTCAGACAATGCTCTTTGGTCTGAGAGGCTGAATTCCTTCAGCTTTTGAGAGGTTTTGCACTTGCAAGTGAGCTAAATTAAAATTTAATAGGTCAATCTGATTTAACAAAATTGCAATGTCTTTTCAAGATACTTGTCCTTTTACAGTAGTCAAGACAAACAGGCCAACCCTAAACATTCAGACTAGCTTGCATTACAGATTCTAAGAAAATGTTGCATGTTGCAAATGAAAGACACTTTTTGACCATTTCAATTTGAAGTTAAATGCAAAATTTTGCTCATGGGATTGAGAAAAAAAGGTTGACCTAAATGCTAAGGCAGTAGATTTAATTTTCTGTTAGCTCCCAGTTGTGCTGCACAATCTGTAAAGATCCTCAGTGGAATTCACAAAGTGTTGGACTCTTTTGGACTCTGTTGTAAGTACCATTGCAGTGAGCACAAAGTGCTATTCATGGTCCAGATACTTGAGACACTTGGCAAATCAAAAGCTCCTCCTTTGATTTCCCTAGAGCGTAAATGTCTTAACTAAAATATATGCCCAAACCTCATCAGTGACATTAGTAGAATAACTCATCTGAAATGATTACAACTTAAAAAGGGGGACTGAGTTTCACAGAAACAGGCCGTTATAGTCACGCCTGGGTTAGCTTTTAATTCTTCTTCTTTCTTGTGTGTACCTCCCTTGCCCAGCTTGCTCATGTTTCATTCATTTAAGTCCACTTGTGCGCGCACACAGCCCAGAATCCCGCTGGACATATTTGGTTTCATCTAAAAACAGAGTTCATTGTTCACTGTGATGATATTGAACACTGAAACATAACAGTATGTCTGTTGTCATGCCACAGTCCCAGATTATCTCCCATTTATCAGGTGCATTTTATTAAGGAGGCTGAATAGGTGGGCTGGCCCAGTTGGTCCTGCTGCCTCAGCAGGTGGGATGGGCCAAAGAGCCACTCTGGATCTCACAACCTGCCACATAGACCTGCACACTTGAGCAAGAATCACAGCACAGACTGTGTATGTGCAGGATCAGAAGATGGTATTTCTGACAACTAAAGTAATGCAAAGGACTGCGCTCTTTGTGACATTTGGAAGTTGGGTGACTTCTCTGATCACCGCCTTCCTTCCACTGTGGAAGACAATGAACTCTGACCTGAACGAAGTGGAGAACTGGTTCTCTGGTCTGTGGCTCACCTGCCTCTACACCGAAGAGGTAGGAATTCAGTGTAAAGCCTATGACTCCATCATGGGGCTGCCAATGGACCTGCAGATCTCCAGGGTGCTCGTGTCAGTGTCTATAGGCACAGGTGGTTTAGCTCTGCTGGCTGCTTTCCCAGGACTGGAGGGGGTTGGAATGTGTGTGGGGCAGCCTGGCCTCAAGCGACGGCTCATCATCTTCGCGGGAGTGATGACCTGGGTGTCGGGGCTCACTACTCTCGCTCCTGTCTCTCTTGTTGCCTACACAACTGTGGTGGACTTCTGGGATGAGGGTTTTCCTGATGTGATGCCACGCTGGGAGTATGGAGAGGCGATGTTCTCTGGGTGGTTTGGAGGTTTGGGTCTGGTCATCGGAGGGACCCTCTTCTTTGTAGCTGTGTGCATGTGGGACTACGACCAGAAGCCACCAAGTGTGCCAAACAGCCCTCAGGCAAAGCACAGGACAAAGAACTACCTGAAGACGGAGGTTTTATAGAGTCATCTGCACATTTATATACTTCATATGAAAGCCTGTCAGCTTTTGAGTGATGACGCAATGAAAATACTTGGGAAACACTTCACTAGCTCTATTTGTGTGACAATGACAAGAATATTTCTGACTGAAGTGACATGAAAGCTACATATGTTTAATTTGTTTAGCTCTAAGTATAAGTGTGCACTTTTATGTAATCTGTTTCTGGTTGATTATGTGATAATCCTAGTTTTCACAAAATATTAAAGTAGAGTGACTTAATAAGCGACTGCAGTAGTTTGTAGTCCTTAAAGCAGGGATACTCAACTTGTTTTGCCCAGGGGACACTTTTCCAAAATGGCAGGAGACAAGAGTTTGCCGTCCTCACTCATCTTTGCCAAGAGGCATCCAGTTGCAGCAGCCCTGCAAAGCCATTCGTAGCAGCGCAGCACAGGTCAGGTATACACAGGGGCGTTTCTAGGTTTTAAGGACATTCTGGGCTCAGCCTGGACCTCTGTCAGGGGGGTCCAGGGCACTTTTTTTTCATAAACAAGATTTTTTTTTTTTATTTAACTACTTTGCTTTTGCTTTAACATTCAAAGCACCAAAATTCAGATTTAGCCCATGTGCCGTAAGTTGAGTATCATCGCTTTAAAGTCTACAGAGTCTGAACAAATAGGTTAGGAAGGCATTTTTTTTACCAGTAGACATGAACCTGAAGTACATTAAACTTTCTTGAAATAATATTTTTTAATCCTTAGTTAAAACTAGTGCAGCTTTGGTGCAGTGTCAGCGTATTTCAGACCTAGGAAGCATGCCATGTATATGTCCTTCGTTGAAGGTATGATCTGTGATGCAAACAAAAGGACAAACTTCAGAATCCCAGCTGAGAATTTATCAGGTTATGAGTGAATGAAGTGAAATGGCATCTGTAGGAGCCAAGTATATATTTATATTATGTTGTTTATTGCTTATCTCACCTGTTACGTATAGCATGATGTGAATTAGACTTGGAAAAATAATTATTTTTGTTTGGGTTCTCCCATTTTCTGTTGATTGCGAATCTCACAGCATCTACATTCACCTTTGCACATGTTAACTTCATGTACCAGATTTTGTTCGTTTTCTTACTTTGAGATGGACAATAAATCCTTAAATGCATATCAATAAGTGCAACTAAGTTATTTAAGCTGTGCATCATAACAGGTGTTGACTGCTCCCTGTCTCAGCGTCTCAGCAGCTTGTGATTGTAACAAGAAGTCGCCGCAGTGTCTGATTATCAGGACAGTGCCTCTCATATTGATTGACAAGTCTTTTAATTTAAGAAGTACTGGCATTAGACAAAATCAGAGTAACTATATTTTTGATGCTTTTACAAGTCAGTAGTCTTTGCAGTTACACATATGTGCATATTTGTGATTTAGAGCTATGTTTGTACTGATGTCTTTCTGTTGATTTTGATTTCAGAGGTTACTTAAATTAATAAACTTTAATCATTATAGATTCTAAATAAATGTGCTAGATGAAGACATTAGGGTCATGAGTACCAAATCCTAAGGAAAATAAAATAAAGAGCAGTAAACATAGTGAATAGCTTCTCTCCAGCTCCATGCATGAGTCAGTATGATACTCAGGAACCCTGGTCATCAGGGTCTCTGAGTGCACCACAAGGGTGATTGAACAGTTTAACAGGAGTAGCAGCAGTGCTGCAGTTCCTCTGTGTTTAATGTTGTTTCGGGCAGGGGGGGATTTGGCACCACCAGCTCCTCTTAGTTGCTAATACACTATTTGGCTTTAGTGTACTGCTGTACATTTCAATGATTAGAACTGATTTCAACACATTTTGTCAGCTTTATGGACATTACAAAAAAATCACAAAATGGTACAAAAAAAATGCTGAGATCACTTTTTATAATATAAAGCAATATGTTGTTTTTATCAAGGCCATTTGCTTAATAGACACAGTTTAGATTTAAGTAATAGCCAGGGTGAATCTGGCCCAATAGCTGCTGACAACGTTTTGGCAGACTATGATTTTTATTTTAGTCTATGAATGTTTCTTTTCACTTCTCTGGCCTCTCTTAATCTGGGATTTTGGATGCTGCAGCCCTCTGCAGTCCCTGCAGAAGAGAGTCCCCCTGCAATTCAATTACACTGAGTGATATATTCTCCCTATGAGAACCTGATCAATCATCTTATTGTACATTTGCACACCACTCGCCCTGGCTTCCACTCTGTGGAATCAAATAAGGGTCATTAACAGTGTTGGAAAGGTTTTGAATAAGTAATAGGTTACAAATTACTAGTTACTCTGTTAAACTTGTAATATGCAATGTAACTATTACTTCATCAAAGTAATCTAACTCATGACATTTGATAACTTTCCTAAGAAATGTTTTCAAATGGGCAATAAAGTTGAAAAGTTCGACAGAATATAAACTTTTAACTGAAAATAAAATATTCAGTAAACGTCTCCTCCACAGATAGCCTTCCTCTTTGGTTCTTTGGCTTCTTTGGCAACTTCACCTGTCAAAGTTCACCAAGTTGAACTCCATGTGATGTGCAGATGCTAATTTGCTTTGCCTGCTCTATACTCACACAACACGTGTAGGCACGGTAGCGCGGGCCCTCTGTAGATGGCGCATGGGCTGCAGGTATGCACAGAGCCAGTAATGCTCAATGCATTGTTGGTTGCAAAATGCTCTGAAATATGAAGAAATGTACAAACAAAATATTCTGTGGATAATCAAGAAGTCAACAAGTGTTACCAGATGAACATTAACGGAAAGGCTGCCCGGCAATAGTAGTAAACACCAAAACATTGCGATTGTTACTTATCACTGCTGCTTACCTCCAAGGCAAAAGATTATTGTGTACCATTTTATCTCCCCCCACTCTTTCTATGACACCTTTTATTTAGCTTTTACAGCCACCTCTCATGTTCTTGTACACTCTGCAGCAAAGAGCTTCTTGTTTCCCCGGTAGGGCTATTTCTTCTCAAGACTTTAAGCTTTGACTTTCCCCGTGGTCTCTCAATGAAGAGTTGTAGATAGATAGATAGATAGATAGATAGATAGATAGATAGATATGTCTGTGCAGGCCTTCTCAGCCAGTCGTCCATGCTAAAGTGAAAAGCACAGTGGCCGCCTAATATATTACAAAACCAACATAGTGCATTTATTTTGAAACAGACTGTATGTAAACGTTAAATTTCCTGTGAAAACGGAAGCGTATTTTGAAAGAAGACAAAGCATGTAACAGGCAGAACTTGACGCGGTGTCCCAGAACGTCAACAACCAACATACCCAGGGAACCTTTCACGTTGTAGGTAGACGTGGATCATCCATGACAAAGTACGTCAATATGTGATGACGAATTAGTATGTGTTGGCTAACAGTATTACTGCATACATTTTAATTACACATATAAAAAATGCAGGTTAGGTTAATTGGTGACTCTAAATTGCCAGTAGGTGTGAATGTGAGTGTGAATGGTTGTCTGTCTCTATGTGTCAGCCCTGTGATAGTCTGACAAACTGTCCAGGGTGTACCCTGCCTCTCGCCCAATGTCAGCTGGGATAGGCTCCAGCCCCCCTGCGACCCCCAACAGGATAAGCGGTTATGGAAAATGAATGAATGAATGAATGAATGAATGAATATAAAAAATATTTCTACTGCCACAAAAAGTTATATGTTTGTGTGCACAAAACATTTTACACATTTACGAGCTTGAATTTGTAAGTAAAATAATTTGTAGCATCATTTCACAAGCTCAAAATATTATTGACCCTTATTTGATTCCATATCACTCCATTGTTTTTACATGTGCTTGAACACATGCTGAGATCAACACAAACATACTGACACTGGAGCACACTTGCAAGTGTCAGCTGTCAGCACACTGTGGAAACACAATCACTCCATGTGGCCGGTAGAAATCTCTTTCATCTTAAAAATCTCAGTTGTTTTATTATTGTTTTTCCTTTCATTTGAACACATTAGGAAACAATATAAGGGTTGTTAATGCTGCATCCGAATCATTATCTCGTGTCCATGAAAAATGAGAAATGAATCTGAGATTATCAAGTGAATGACCTTGTCCCAGCAGTTATTTGAAAGGGAGGCACAGTTTCTCCTACAGTGAAAGCATAAGGAATGGAAATATGTTAGGAGCTCATTTCTATAAGACTCAGTATACCTTTTTAATCCTGCTCCACCCTACCCCCCCTCCCTGACTAAAACTGGGATTTGCTGCACCAACTGCACTTTAACTCTTTCTCCCTCTGCTGCTACACACTGAAACAAGTGCCGCACACACACACTGTAAGAGCTGCTATGGTGTTTTATAGCATGTAGCAGTCTGAAGAGTAGTTTTTTATCTGTCCTGGTGGGCAGTATGAACACAATAAATGTCACTCTGGCAAGTTTTAACAATAGCTGATACTCCTGCAGCATGCAGCACAATGCATGCACAGTAAGCTTGCAGTGTAATAAGTGGGCTGTCAGATCAGGCAGTGCAGTGGGGAGGGCAGCAAGTCTTTGATCAGGCTTAACTGGCAAGTCAGGTCTTTGACATCTGAAGGCGAGGCTGAAAGGGTCTGAACAGAAAAGCAAGCAGGAGAGGGTGAGCGTGTGTGTGTGTGTGAGTGTGTGTATGTGTTTGGAAAAGAGAGAGGAGGGGCGAGAGGAGGACGAGAGCAAGGAACGGTGAGAATTCATGCTGTGTTAGCATCCCCTCAGCAACTCCATCAATACTGCATACAGCTGAGAAACTGGCAAAGGTCCTCCGTACTGCATTTGCAGGCTCGGCCAGGAAAAGAGAGCAACTCCCACGACTGGTCTGTTCAGTCTGCTGCTGAGGGGGGCTCTGTGAGGGGCAGAGCACGCACACACACACACACACACACACACACACACACACACACACACACACACACACACACACATACACTCACACACTCACTAGAGCCTCTGCTGCATCGAGAGGCAGAAGAGTGGAGGAGGGTACGGAGGGACGCATTGACTGGGAATACTCCAGTGGACAGAGCCAATCCCGGAGAGGGACAGGATTTTTTGGAGACTCATGTGCTAATATGCTACCGTGCTCTGCAGGGGAAGCTGAGCACCAGGGAGTTTGACAGGATCTCAGTGCACCTGCTCCATGCACACTGGTAAGCTTTAATTTTTTCTTTTACAGTTAGAGAAATGTGGCTCTGTTTTTATAAGTTCCCAATATGATGTAATTATGTGATGCTCCCTGTATAGTCAGAGTTATTTTGCCTGTGTACAGTAGGCTACTTGTATAGAAGTTATTCCAGATCTTCCCTTGAGAACCATATACCATAGTACACTACATGACACTGAAATCACACTACCAGAACAATTTAATTCATGGATGAGTTTTGTTACACACATTTAAAATAAAACCATCTACAGGGCTTGTTACGTTTTTAGTTAGTTTTTAGTTTTTATAGTTGGCACATCAGTGACTCTTTAGATAACTGGGATAAAATGAAACATCACACATCATCTCACATTTGATTTGTTTCTATTGACTTGACATGCGTGTTTTTGTTTGTGTGTGCGCATGCTGAGAAACTGGTCAATAGCAGAATTGTTATAAGGAAAGCACAGCTCCTCTGTGGGGGTGTACACCCCTCTGTAAACCACATTTCTAGTTTTCCATGACATCATGGAGAGGTTATCACTCAGAGCAGCAACAAAATTACCTGATGGACGTCAGTGGTGCCATTCTTAACCAGCTCAAGCTTTACCAAAGAATATGTAAAGTTTAGGTCAACTTTTTGAAGAAAAACTGGATAAAGTAATGCAATTTTTTTCTCCTTAGTGAACTCCTTTGAGAGCAACAACAATGCTGAATGACTGTATAATCTTTGTTTTCTGAAGCCACGTGGCATCTATGTGTTATACAGTGCTAGACACTAAAGGTTTGTTTTTGAATTCCATTAAAGGCTTAACTATATGACCTCTGTAGCCTGTTTAAACAAGGGTCAGACTTAAGAAATAATTTTCGATCCTTTTCAGTTTTTATACACACACTTTAGATGCTGTTAAGAACGTTCAGAAGCTGTTGTCGGTTCTCATGATCTTGCCTGTAACATGGCAATATCACGAACACTACAAACATTTGTAGAAACTCAGTCAAGAATGGTGTAAATGAACTTCCTCACAATGTGTGATTGTGCCACGTACTAGAGCTTCTTAATGGGGATTGTGGTTATCTGTAATCCACTCTTTATTCTTTTATAGTTAAGACACGTAGGCGATGGAGTAAATAGAAATTAATCAAAAGCTCCTTGGCATTTTGGGGGGGACATGCTGGTGACAAGGGCGATGAGGGTGCACAAATCTATCTTAAAAAATGTGTGCTGGAACAACTGTGTCTCATTCAATTGTGAACAAGCAAAATAAGAAGTGCAGAAATAATATCCTAATGGCATTTCAAAGAGTGACAACCCACTTATCCCCTACACTGAATGCTTCCTTAAAGGAATACTTGACCCACAAAATGATTGTTTGCCAATCAATTAGTCATGTCAGTCAGCCATTAATCGTGTTACCTTGAAATTTAAAGAACTTGAAACCTTACTATTTAACTGAAAGAGTAACTTATCTTTGCTCTCTTCAAAACCAGACTCAAATGCTGAGGGTTTTTTGCGAAAATGCATGTGTTTAGGAAATGCTGAGTATAAGACAGGATAAATGAGACTTTGATTATACTGCACGTGTTCTGTGAGAGTTTGTAAACTGATGTTTCCATATTTTTCTGTTGTTAAATGTGGTCCCCAATCAATCAATCAATCAATCAATCAATCAATCAATCAATCAATCAATATATTCTCTGATTTCAGTGAGGGCATGTGAGAAAAAAAGTTTTCCTCAGGAATTCAAAGAAACATGACATGACCAATTTTGTGGGTGAAGTATTCCTTTAAGCTGGTGGTAAACAGAATAGATAACCACTAAGGGTCAATCAGGGGATGATTCCTCGGGCTTATCTTTGTATTTCACAAACCAGGAAAACGTGCAAACTGTGAGTGAGGCAAAGAGGTGTGGTCAAATATTAAGAGTGCAGGTCAATTGTTGTCCTTTATCAGCTGAGGATCAGAGAGCCCTAATCGTTAACTACAGCCTAACATACCTGTCCAGCAAGTCCACCAGTTTAGATGGCTGAAGGTGAATGAGCCACAGGACCAGCAGCTCTTCTTTTATTCAAGTTCTGCTGCAAGTCAAGTGTATATTGGTGGATCAGGTTTGTCACTGGTTGGCAGTGTTGTGGTGGTTGAGCTCGGTCTTTTTCTTGAGACTTGCCTCAAGACCACTTTTTGAAGGTCTTGATTTTATCTCGGAGTCGACCGCATTTTTACTCAAGCTTGTCTTGTTCTCAGACATAGAGGACTTGGGAATTTCTTTTAAGACCAATCAACCTAACTGTGGGGATATCACAGGATATCAATTGCCTGTGCAAAAACGAAATGTTGAATAAAGATGATTAAGTTGATTTCACCTCCTTTGTGCATTGGTTTTTGTTTACCCACTTACATAGAATTCACCTCTGCAATGCCTTTTTCATCAAGCCATTGCTCATGGTACACTTACATGTACATATATACAATATGGCGATACAGAGGAAAATGAAGAGGAATCTTCATTTGTTTTCTGTGTGTGTTTTATGGGAATGTGGATCTTGTTCTACATTTTATCATAAGTGTGTCATGTAGTGTGGGACTCACACTGGTCTGGTCTTGGTCTTGACTCGACCTCACCCTTCCTTGGCCATACTCATGTCTCGGTCTTCATACACTTTGGTCGCGGTCATGACCTAGTCTTGGTCTAGGCGGTCCTGATCACACACTGGTGGGAGGAATATGGGATATTTGCTGTATACCCTAGCGAAGTTCAGCTGCGAGCTTTTTTCTGAAGGCTGAGTCCAGTTTTGATGTGACTTTGGTGCTCCACATGCCTGCGTTTGTGAGTCACAGTCAGTTTATAGACTGACCTCTTCACCACCAACCAGGAACTGCGTTTTGCTAATTCTCCTTTCCAACATTCCAGTAACAGGTATTACATTTGTAGGAAAGTGAATGAAACTGACAGCTTGTTTGCAGGCAGGATTATTAGCACTGCTTGGGGACGGGCCCAACAGTGAGAGCGCGAGATCTGCGTCATATGTTGTGAGGACCAAATCTGCTTAACCTACTTTAGTTTTGCACAAAATATCTTGGTGCTTGCTGGAACTCCAGGATGGCAGCTCTTTGCGATCCAATTTGTCATTCATCAAATTTTCAGTGGTGACAAATTATTAAAGTGGTAACATGTGAGACTGAAGACTTCTCTCTTTGGGAAGTGATTAGATATGGTGCTCTCTGTCTTTTGTGAAACACACAATATCAAAGGCTTTGTACTCAGGAAAATATCAGTGCTTGGCAATGATATTTGGATGTATATCTAGAGTACAGACCAAAAAGACTCTTCTGGGAGATGCCAGATCTGACATGATCAGAGCCCAGTATCATCATTAGCTTTGATTTATTTGTTGACTTTACATTTCTTCCATCAACAACTTGTTCAGTGACTTATGTCTCTAGAGATAAGATCCTTACTTGTGTAAAAGTACAAACAAAATAATGGAAAATACTGCACCAAAACTAAAAGACCTGGATTCAAAATGGAAAAAGAATATTTCATCCCCCAAATGACCATTTGCATATCGATTACTCACCCCATGTTTTTCTCACAAGCCTTCATGGTGAAAAAAGAACCCAAAAATGGAGATAATTCTTGATAAATTCAAGTAAGGGGGTCTGAGTTTATCAACAGCAAAACTGCATCAAAACATCTGTTTACAAACTCTCAAACAGCTTGTGCAGTATAATCCATGTCTCATATGTCCAGTCGTATACTCAGTGCTTTCCAAACAGACATCCCTTTCAGACAAAGAGCTTAAGGAGAAGTAAAACTTTATCTATGCTCTCTTCAAAGCCAGACTCCATTGATAAAAACAGTAATTTTACCTTGCTGAACACAGGAGCTGTTGGTCTACCACTGCCTTGATCAGTTAGTTTGTTTGTGTTATTGTGTGATTGAGTGTGCTGAATCCAAACTAACCCTCCAAAGTTAATTAATACACAAATGGTCGTGTAGGCGGTGAAGTGTTACATTAAAGTTTTTTTTACAGCAGTCACCTCTACTGTGATATTCCTTGTTTGCAGGTGCGTCGTTGATGTGGAAGTGTTTTAAATGATAAGGTTTCAGCAAAAATGCATGTGCAAAATGCTTAAGTAATAGATATACAAATGGCCATTTTGCAATCAAGTATTCCTTTAATTAGATGAACAGAAGTATAAGCAGCAAAATATATTGAGTAAGTATTTGTTCTGCAGAAAAACATTAAATTGTTGATACTGATGCATCAGTTTTACTCAGTTAGGGTGGAGATAGATTTAGATACAGTCAGGTAGTTCAGTCCAGTTTCCTCAAGGGGTCAACATCAGTGTGTGGGGTCATGAGATGACTGACGACAAGAGAGAAGAAAAAACATAGACCACTGTGATGTCACAAGTGGCCCCAGTTACACACAGCTTTATGTAAGAGGCCAAAAAGTTTGGGAATCACTGATTTCATTTTTGATATTGTGGTGAAAGTGTATTCATTTGCAAAGTCAAGTAACTAAAGCTGGCAAATAAATGTAGTTGTGTAATAATCAATATTTTCCTTTAAAATTTGGTGGAGGAGAAGTACAAAAGTGGCAAGAAGTAAACTTACATACAGCTTGAGTGGCTGTGCAAAGCTACTCTCACCCACTATAAACAAACACATGGTTTAGACACAACAACTCAATCTCAGCTGCAGAGTTGTGTCCAGTCAGAGATCTTTCCATTTCTCATTTGTTCTCAGGAACGTTCTCTAAGCAGCGCTCCATTCAACGCTGCACACTTTTTTTTCTGAAGTTCAAGGACATTAAGATGTGCTCAGAATATCAAGCAGTCCTTTTGGTTGTACCTCAAAAGGATAATTTGGTGATGGATTGCACCATGTTGAGCCATACACCTGCCATCCCGGGTCCTCTCAGCTTCATAGTAGCCAGCGCTCTGTGAGTAACTAACTACTGTATGTGTGGGTGAAATACCAGAGCTGGCAGAAATGTGAGGGCAACGTGGCAACAAAACAAGGGGGATTTTGAAACTCAAGGGGCCCCTGCTTCCCTTTAAAGAGCAGTGTGACGAGAAAGTTAATAGGTGTCGGAGTGCTGTTAATATTTAACGGTTTCCCATGCAATATGCATGAACAAAGGTAACAATGTGTGTGGAAATGTTCCTAATTAACACAATTGCTTCCTTTTTACAAGCACTAACATGTTATGTAGACAAACACACACACAGAAAATAATCTGGCAGTCTAATCCTGACTCTTAACACAAACACAGTCGTGGCTATGACTGATCAGAAGCCCCAGGACTATAAAAATGTATGGATAGAAATGGGGTCAAATGTTTTGTCAATTTAAAAGACAAAATTGTAAATGAAAAGTTAAAATTTGAACTTAAAAAATGGAGGTCCCACATACGGCTTTGCATGAACCCATTTAAAATCAATATAGAATAAAAACCAGAATAGCTCAAGCATTGATTCTTTTGCAGCAGAAAGCTAAGGCTTCTGTTGTCATGTCAATACCTTATGTTACCTTACCTTACATTACAGTGCAGTGATGCAGGCTGCAGGAGATCATTGTATGCATTACCCTGTATCAACCTAAAATAAAAGCCATGATAGCTAGAGGATTAACTCTTTTTGTAGCAGAAAGCTAAGGCTTTTGTCTTCTGTGTAATCATGTTGTATGCTCACGATGACGTCATTAAGTTGCGTTACATGTGGTGCAAAACCATGTCAAAATGTACCATAGCGTTAAAGGAATGATTGATAAAACTATCAAAATGCTTTTGCATTCTACTCATAACAATGTGCATATATATTGAATATGGTCCCGTGTTTAGGCTGTTTTATAAAATATAATGAAAAAATGTCCGATTTTTTGTCTTTTTTAAAATGTATTAAACAATTTTATTACATTTATCATTTTTTCTGGTTTATTGACTTACATAACCTTTTGGCTTTGTACAGATTTTAGGAATATGAAGCATTTGACGATACTCAAACAAATGACATCACAATAAGCAAAAATACCAATGTAGGCACTAGCAGTTCATCTCTATTGCAGTTTTCCAAAGAGCAGTCAGAAAAGCCTTATAAAACTTTTGCATGATAACAGCATATCACAGATATCATCAGTATATCACCAGAGACACTAAGACCTGTCTGGTGTGAGTGTTGTTGACGATGTTGCTCCCTCTCTCCGTGCAGATTATGTGGAGGAGCTGACGTGTGCGATGGCCAGCTTGGACCTGCAGGTTCTCATACACACAGTACTGTGTTATCGTTACCTCTCGACCAAGCAGCCCAGCCCGAGGATCTGACCGCACCTCCCCTCCCTCTCCCCCCTCCCTCCCTCTCCCTGGGCGTTCCTCAATCCTGGGCCCACCATGGGAGGATGCTTCTCCAAACCCAAACCAGGTAACCAGCATGTTTCCCATCTCAGTCAGGGACAGGTTAGTTTAGTTTGAAATAAAATGAAAAAGGTGTTGAAACACGTCCATGGTAGATTTTTTGGGCTGTTGTTGAACAGGATTGTGTAATATCGTAAGATGTTCATGTTATTTTGTCCACCTCTGTAGCTGCTACCCTGCTTTCAAAATGATAAATGAATACAATATTAGCAATGATATTTCCACTTATTGATATGGAAATGGCAGCAAAATCGCTTTACGTACACCTCTGTAACAACACTGTGCCACCACTGTGGGTCATGAGTGTGGATGTGGCAGAGTGGGCAGTATCTTTGCCTGGCACCTGAGAGTTAGACAAAAGTTCAGTAGCACATCAAGCTGAAACAGTTCAACCTACTTTGTTATAAAATTACCTGGATCTTCCTCATCATTGGGCCCATAGAGCAAGCACACTGGAGACTTTGCCAACTGAGTGGCTAACCTCTGCCAGCTACTTTAGCTTTAGCCCCCTGCTAACTTGAATGGGAATGAAAGGGATCAATCGTGCAGCTCTTCTGGACCTTAGAAACGTTATTGGACTAAATGGATCAAATCCCGATAGTGAATTGGGTCATTTTTGGGGACTGTGATGTTTAAAAAATGTATCCACTAATTTACAGATTTCTTTTTCCCAATGTAAGTATATGGGAAAAAGTCTTTTGTAGTTGTAGTTGTAGTTGTAGTTATGCAGTTTATGCCGCTATGTCAAATTGGCTTCAAAGTCTGGTGCCCTCCTTGGGGGCGTGTTCATGGCAGCATTATCAATAGTACCTGCTGTATGAGCGCAGTGCAGAGCACATATTTTAGTGTACAGTTTAGCTGTAAAATTAGAAAGTTTGTGACCTCGGCTGCATTGTTGGAAATAGTCAACTGAAGTACCAAGCAATGCCTACTGGCTTATGTTTCTGAAAACACTGGGACGAGAAATAGTCAAAGCAGAATCTTTATTTATAATTAATCAGCTCAGCCTAGTTTGACAGTTTGACCACAGTTCACGAGCAGTGACATGTTTGACAGCTGCTCCTCAGCTCTAATTGGTTGTTCGTAATGTCATTAGAGGCTCTACAAGACAATACAGTAGGCAGAGAAATATGTTTGTTTGTTTTTTTACAGATTATCTCTCATTTAGTGCTGTGTGAATATGGTAATGACATCAGTAAAAGTTACCAGCTACAGCTTTAATGTGAAATATGGAGAATGTTGGGAATTCAGTGTTACACAGTTGGGCTATTAATGTATCTTAATGAAAGGGTTGACAACATGATGGTGCATGTAGTAGTTTTAGAAATGAGGTTCAGGAAAGTATTGGTATAATACAGTGATTTATGTATTTTGCTTATGATGCCAAATGAAATTATTTATTGTTAATACAGGAAAGTCAGTAAATCTAGCATTAGATGCCTGAATAATGTACGGTTTCCATGGAGAGACCAGTAAATTATTTATTTTTTAAAAAGATATATTTAGAGACAGTATGTTCAGATTGAATCATGTTAAAGCTACCTACCGCCTCCAAATCCTGTTATACATGTCATCTCATATCCAGGCTCCTTTGTTTGCACTGTAGTGTTTTGTGTGGGAGGAATTTTAATGCTCTCTGTGGCATCTTTGGTCAAAAGATTTGCAGAATATCAAAATATGACACTGCGTGTGTGTGTGTGTGTGTGTGTTTATCCATATCAGTGTTAACATGGCTTAGATATGAGCGATCATGCTTTATTGCAGTCGTGCAGGTGATAATAGCATACTGTAGTTCCCACTCAGGTGTTTGGAGACACAAAAGCTCTGAGATCAGATCATCTGTTCAGTGCATCACGTGTCACTGAGTGAGAATGATGAGGGACGACAGTGGTTAACTGTATGCAATGATTAAACTGACTCCGCAAACTGTAATCAATTAGCCTGTGTTTACTGTCTACCAACAATCGATAACAAATCAAATGTAACTGGAATATCACATAAAAATATCTTTCACACAGTAAGTTTTAGACAGCTCTACGGTTATGTCTTCCTATTTAATGGGTACACAGCCAAAGTTAGTTTTGAGGAGACAGTGAAAGCTTGTTTGGTTTACCCTCACAGAAAACAATGCTATACCATTATTTCTAAAGGGGCTGCCATCAGCAGAATGTAGACAGTCTTCACTGATGAGAAAATAAAACATAAATCACACCTTATGATTTATGTTCGGAGAGAATACTCAATGTCAGTTCTTAGAGGTTGTTAAACCAAACTGACAAATGTTAAACTATTTTTTTGCCAATCATATGAAAACTATACAAAAGGGTCAGATAATACAGAGTTACAGGGAGTTACAGATGTCCAAAGTGGAGCAGAATGTATATATGAAAGAAGATATCTCTTTTGTTTTATAATTTCTCTAGGTTTTGTCTGACTTATGATAACTTGGGTGAAAGAGGACATGGCACAGCAGCTCAGTGCTTTATGACTCTGATCACTGATAATTTAATGGTATCCAAGTTAGTGTCTAATGAAGTCTAACCTCTGTGTTATGGTATATTTTAAGTCTCATAAGGTTCAGCTGTGACATATGTTTAGTGTGAGTGTCCTCGCCATTAGAGTATCAAACTAAAACAGTTGTCATGATGCATGTTACCATCTACAGGTATCTGAGGAGAGAGATTCACTGGTCAGTACTGGTTAAGCTTGTTAATGAACCAATAATAGAAATAGAATAAATAGAGAGGACAATGAGCCACTTGCTGTAGTCATTTGACCTGTAGGCTACAGAATCAAAACAGCAATTGTTGTTAGTTGTTATGGTGACAACACATGTCAGTGGGGCCCTAAAATCTGTTGTTTGAGAACTCTGTTTTGGCCTATTCTTACATCCAATTTACTTAATAAACAGAAAAATACAACTGTACACCAAACTACGAAACTAAGACTAATGTTAGCTTAATTGCCTTGTTAACTGATCACAAAACACGCTTCATTTCAGCTCGACAGAAATAAAATAAAACTCACCAAAGCCTTCTTATTTAGAGGTCATTTTTTTCTGAATACTTGTGGATGCGTGTCACCTTTAAAATGGCTTCTCATTGTGATCTGTTGCTTTCACCCACCTGCATTCACTTATCAATCAGGATTGGGTGACACCCCCTGCCAAGTTTATAAAATGTTTTCTTGACTCCTGTCCACCTCTTGCACCCTGATGAAGACAATGGAAGCAGCCGTGTTCTTTGAATAAAGGCTTTTTAACTTCATTCAAGTGCATTTGTTCCTGCTATACGCATGTGTGTCTAAAGTTTCTCCCCATGCGCTGACCCTTTTCTTCAAGAGCACCTGTGTTTTTTCTTGAATTTCATATGATAAAAACAGTCCTTGAGCACACCATTACCTCATTCTCCATCTTAGTCATTCTTGTTAGCCATCTAGTTAGTTCACTGTTCCAACAATCACCAACACTGGTTTGGGCAAAGTAAAACCCTAATGCACTGAGTCAGATGTAAAAATATGCTGATCTGCATGCTGTTTTTCCCCGTGGTCTCGCTCTGCCTCTCAGCTGTCCACTGAGCAGCAGCTCTCACTTGTTCTTCAGAGGCAGCTACAGTAATGTTACACAATGGCTCAACAAACATATAATTAATGGCATCAAAAGGAACAGGGAAATATCTGTTATGGTAATATTTTTAAAGTAATGGATTGTTTATTTGAGAACGCACTACTTCACTGCTCATTTGGTCTTTACTGTAAAACCTCACCTCAGTGAGTTTGCTACTTCCTGCAAGTTGTTTTGTTAATAAGGAAGTTAGGAAGTTAAGGAGGTTAGCCCCCTACAATGAATGCAGTGGCAGCAATACACATAAAAATGACCATCCTGACCACGCTGATTTGAATGGGAATGTCCAATCTACTCTCATTTGATTTCTATGGAACTAACTATCCAGCTGAAAATGTTCCTCAAATGTCTACAACAAAAGAGTCCAGAGTCCACGACTGAAGCTACTTGAAGGTTAAAATCAAATAATTAGACTGATAAAATTAGACTAATAATAGGTAATATTTTTATTTTCCAGAAAAAAAATATAAAAGTAGCCTATTCTGACACCTGTATCTACAGGTGTATAAAGGTACAAAGGATAAGGTCACTTGAACGCAGTAAATGTAGAGTTATACCTTTAAGTGTGAGTGGGAGTAAATTGGCACCATGACAGGATGTACGAGGGAGGGAGAGCTTGTAAACATGGCTCACCGCTGTCCTCGTTTGCATCAAAATGTGAAGAAATACAGAAAGGTTACGAACACTGTGAAAAAATAAGGATCTAAACACCTTCTGCTCACTCACGGCTAAATAAAATGTCCTTGCTGAAGTTCAAAACACTAAAAAGATCAAAATAAAAGCAATACAGAAAATATTTAGGTACACACTCCACACCAGATAACTTTATAGTACTGATCAAATGAAGCATCAGTGTGGTGATGTCCCGTTTAGCAGCAGATATTACAGCAGCATCTAAAGATTCTCTTCAGCTGTGGAAAGCTTTCTCTTTCTGCTGCTCACTATTATGATTTTCCATTGATTTTAATTAAGACTTGCTCAGCAGGAGAAAATTCCAGCCAGATTACTGTGTAAGAACCGGATGATCAGCACATTTTTCCAGCCGAACAGATAAAGCCTGCTGCAGTGAAAAAAGAGTTACACAACCGCTTCTTAATGTTCAGTAATATAAATCCAGCAGCAGCGCATCTGATGTCCTGAAAGAAAAGTTAATGTCTCCTGATTAATTTACTCCACTCTGTTATAGTCTGTTTTCTTAAAGCAGCAAAAACAAAACACTGGCAGTATTTTGTGTGTGCGTGTTTGTGTTTATGTCCATTTCCTCCATGGAAAGCTCGCTATTTAAAGCATTGTTATCCTGTCACAATCATATAGTTTAACCCTTATTAAGTTAAGTGTACATATAGACAGAGTGAGAGTTGAATGAGTAATGTGTAATTTGTTTTAGGGTGGAAATAGAGTTGTTTTTTTAGCTCTGAAGAAGCATTTTACTGCTGGAGAGATGGTCTTTTCATAAAACTTTTCTGTTTTTATGATAGAAAGTTGCAAATACTTTTGAAATTGTTGCTACAGAGAAACAGGGAATAAAGTGCTGTGGCATTCATTTTTGCACCGGAGACAGAAAACCTACAACTACCAGAATGCAATGCACCACACTGGACCAATAAATGTTCTGTTGGGTGACTTAAATAGAGTTTGTCTGTTTTGACACAGGAAACAATATGGCAGCCGGCTGGTAACAAACAATCTAGTTTTACAGTTAAAAAGTAAGCTCTCTGAAATACCATAAAAGTTAAATTAATAGCCGAGTCCCAGTTAAGCACCCAGTCCCTTTTACTAGGCTAATGTGGCTACACATTTTGACAAATAAACATATGTTTTAATTAGATGCCTGGTCTGGTTGCCAAGCAGTTAATTTTTTTAATAAAAGTTATCCAGATGTAATAAAGCAGATTGTTGGCTTCCCTCAAATGATGTGTCCATTCCTCGATTACCCTGTAAGTTATTCATATTCCATCAGTTCATAAGAGTCCTTAGATCAAAAGAATCAAAAGGGGTTTTCATAAAAATTAATGCAAGTTGTAAATATGTTTAAATAAACGATTTGACTGTATTTCCTGATCTTTGCTGAGCAACAGTTTTGTGTGAAAGGAATTAAAGGCCTGTCCCATATATAGGCCCATTGAGTTCAGTGATTTAAGCAAATAAAAGCCTGGGCTACTAATTGAAGTTTTATGGTAGGCAAAACAGCAACAGAGTCTTGTTCATATTTTATCAACACAGCTTAGTTTTACAGTTTGATTGTAGTTTGTTCTGAGTTTGAGAGAGAGGGAGAGGGGTGGGTCTCTCTGTTTATCCTCTTCTTTACTCTTTCTGTCTGCTGTGGTAGTCATACGAGAATGTGTAAAAGTACAATCTGTTGTTCAAGTAAGGGCCCTATAGCTGGTGGTAGTCCGCCAGATGACACAGATTTGAGCTGAGAGATGAGCAGGGAGATCTGGGCGCTGGTTAGATGGAGGGAAGTTTATCACAATTCATTTAAAAATACTTCCCACACTGTTACAATACAAAGTTGGTTAAAAATAAGCAAAGTATAATTTTGACTTTTTATTGTGATGTAAATGTTCATTGCAAAATATAAAATAATGAGACCATTGGTATTTTCTCTGTTTCACTATAAGCCTTGTTTTCACTGTCCTACTCTGTCTGCCACAGAGTACAATCTTCAACCAAAACAAGAAGATGATAGCACTTTTATTTTCCTTGGTAGTTATCAGTAGCTATCCCCTCTTACCAAAGAGTATTCTTTGCAGTTACTATCCCCAGTAGTGGAAATAGTGGAGGGTGGAACAACCGTAATAACTGTAGAAACAGAGGCCTGTTCAACTTCTACACCGGTTGTCTTTGTGCCAGTAGTGCCAACAGTAACACCACTAGTAACAACTTGTCTGTCTGTTTCCACTTTAAATTTAGTGGCAAATTGTTACCTGTCTCATTTTTTGTGGACTTTCCACACCATACCACTGGTAGATCTGGTATTAATAGCAACAGTTTTTTAGTGTGGTTGGCTCTGCTCCGCATGAGACTATTCTTGTGCATGACTCATTTCCGGCTGTTTAGAAGTCAAAGTGTGTTGTAATTTAGTAGTAATTAGAAAATCTGGATTTATATTGCATCTTGATGACTGTAATAATGCTACCCACTAAGAGTAGAAAGGAAAAGAAAAAGAAGTCAGGGTCGCTCTCACACACGTCTCCCTTCACCTGCTTCCTGCTTTCATTTGTTTCACTTGTTGAGATGTCAGATTCAATTTGTCCCAAAGCTGTAGACGTCTCTCCTTGCTGAAAGTCAAATTACTCTTCCAAAGAAATGCTGAAGGGTAGTAATAAAATAACAGTGGACAGGCATACAGGAATAATAGCACAATCCACTGGTTATTGGTGGCATGATTAATCTGCCAATATGACTTAAATAACTGTCTAACGGCATCATTTTACTGCAGTCACTGTGATTGCTCTGCTCATGTTCAGTCATGCATCTTCAGTCATTTTCTAAGTGAGACGTGTCTGTGTTGTGCAGTTGAAGTTAAAGTGGAACTCTCTCTCCTGGAAAAAGAAAAAGAGGTGGACGGGCTGTCACCTAATGGCAAAGCGAGTCCCTTTGCTGACTGCAGACCGAACGGGGCTCTGGGACACGGCTCTGATGACGACTCCACCCCGCTGCCACTCTACCACAAACCACGGGACTATGTGGAGGCCTCCGTCTGTCATGTTAAAGATCTGGAAAACGGACAGTAAGAAAATGAAAAATACAACTTTTTTTGCTCAGTACACAAACACACTCATGACATGCACTGTATGTGGAGGTAAATAAGCTGTTATGTGCTATAATGATAATATAATTTTGCGGGCTGGTTCTGGCCCACGGGCCGTATGTTTGACACCCCTGACATAATAATCACGAAACAGCAAAGTAATCCCATGTTGACCAACATTTATCTGTTAATTTATCTGTCTATTTTTGAAAGATCTAACTAAAGGAGCCCTCACTACATCCTCTTGAAGCTTGTCCCATGCCTTTACTGCTCAAAGTGCAAAGTTTTTTCTTTATTTTTTCAAAGAAACACTTCAGTGGGAATAATTTTAAGGAGTATTATTCTTAAATCACATCAATTTTTCCAAAAGTGAATGACAGGCTCAATTGTAATATCAAATTTTAACCAGATCATCATCACATCAGGCTTACAGCAGACATTTCGGATAGACGCAAGGTAATTGATTTTAATTATGGAGAGATGAAAAATCAAAAACTTGTCTCCCTTAGTTGTTTAGTTGTTTAGTTGACATTTGAAGATATATACTAAACACGATGGGCCAGCCTATCTGATGTTTCTGCTGTGCTTGTTTATGTACTGTGTTGATTTGCTAGCATCTTTCACCACCATAGCTGAGCAATGTACTGCTGTGCACAGCTGCTGCAGCAAAACATATTTTAGCCACCTAAAAAAATCAATATAAGTGTGAGTGCATGCTATATTTGGAATATTTTCTCTGCTTTACCTTAAACACTAATAGATCAGTGCAGCAGTAGACCAGCAGTGTTCTGCAAAGTTGAAATGTAGTTTTTGTCAGTGGAGTCTGGTGGCTTTGAGATAACAGCTTCAGTTCCTTACTGATGAAGGCTGTCTAATGGCAGGGAAAGCAGCAAGAGTATTCTAAATATAGATCCTCCTCTGTGTCTCCTGTATACTGGAGTTGGTAAATGTCATTTTCTCAACCTCTCCACATATGACATCTCCTTCAGACCTGGAATTAGTCAATGTCTTTGTGTGAACTGTTCCTTTACTGTATTTGGCTCATTGTGGCTACCGGAGCATTGCTTAGATAGATGTAGGTAAACTGTACCCGTAACTGTTGTAGTCGTAATGCGTCCTTGCTCTGTAAAACCTTTCTCCCAGGTTGTTTTTCAACTGTCAGTGTCAGGATGGCCTTGGTATGTTTCCTTGGAAGTTGGAAGGATTTAATCATTAAACAGTTATGAATGCACACACGCATATTTGTTTTTGTGTGTGTGACAGGATGCGAGAGGTGGACTTGGGAAGTGGCAGAGCTTTGTTGATCAAAGAACATGGGGAGTTCTCCGCCATGGCCCACAAGTGTCCACACTATGGAGCACCGCTGGTCAAAGGTGAGTAATGTGTGTTATGATTTTAACATTTGTAATAAAATATGTTATCATATACTTGACATTTTGTTTTCTTCCAGGTGTGTTGTCAAAAGGACACGTGCGCTGTCCGTGGCACGGTGCGTGCTTCAACATTGCAACAGGAGACCTGGAGGATTTCCCTGGGCTGGACAGCCTGCCTACCTTCCAGGTGACCTTCCCCGCTGGTGCCGTCTCTTAACACATTCCTTGCCTTATCATGTCTCTAAGCACCATCAAAAAGTGTACACATCGCTCATGTCTGTTTGCTTCAGGTCAGAGTTGAAAAGGACAAGGTGATCATTCATGCAAACAAGCAGGTAACAAGAGAAAGAATGTGAAGAATTTATGCAGGAACATAAACGAGCACCTCATTGATCTGAGATGCCTCTTCTAAAAAACATCTCCAGGCTCTTCAGTCACAGAAAAGGTCAAAGCCGATGGCCCGATGCTCAGCAGTCATTAACTCCAGCACGGGCTTTAGCCATGTTCTCATCATTGGCTCAGGTCAGTGTGTTTCTACCCCTCGAATAACAAAATGCAGTTACATCTGACTCTTGTTGGCAGCATCCCCCTTTATTTTCCTCTTATATGGTGAATGTATCCACAGGTCCAGCAGGTTTGGTGTGTGCAGAGACACTGAGGCAAGAGGGCTTCACCGACCGCATCGTCATGTGCACCATGGACAGACATCTTCCATATGACAGGCCAAAACTGAGTAAGGTTTGTACACAGTCCCTGAACACATAAACTGAGAGAGAACTGAACTTTGCCAAGAAAGTTATGTAACAGACTGCAGAGGAGCTGAAGCAGGAGCTCTTTGGGGAACAGCTACAAATTCACAGCAACAAATATGTAAAGAAATTTGACTTGTGCAAAAAGTAAACAGACATAACTGACTCAAAAACTGTGACTTTCCATTACCAGGAAAAGCTTGAAATGAATTAGTATTAATTGGCTGCATACACTTGTCCACCTTTTGGAAATTTTGCTTTTTGATTCAGGGATTTTTGTTTAATTTAATTGAATTATTTTATCAATGCATTCAGCACTAACTTGCTGGCCCTTAGTCCTTAGACAGCACAGCAGAGCAGCTGAGACTGCGCTCCATGGAGTTCCTACAGGATCATGACATCGAGCTGCTCACAGAGAAAGAGGTGAGAGCTGGTGACCACAGATCAATGAATGAATCAATTAGATCTAGATCTAATTGGCAGTTTGGCAGTTTCCACAAAAATCCAACACATGAACCTGTATGACCCTTCTGTGTGTGCTCATAGGCTGTGGCGGTTGATGTGAAAACACGATCTGTGACCTTTGAAGACGGCTTGAGGATGGAGTACAGGAAACTCTTTATTGCTACAGGAAGCAAGTAAGGAAACAACTTTTATTTCATATGATAATGAAGCAGCTGAGATTATAAATTGATGAATAAACTGACATCTGATTGCTTCCACTTCCTGCTTGAAAGACCCAAACCAATGATCTACAAAGGCAAGGACATCAGGAACGTGTTTCACCTCAGGACACCTGAGGACGCCAACAGCATAGCGAGGCTAGCCAACAACAAGAACGCTGTAATTGTGGGAACATCATTCGTTGGTGAGAAAAAGGCACATTTTTCTTATTTGTGCTGATTAAGATAAGTGAAAATGAAGTGAAAAATCACCAGAAACTAAGTTAATAAAGTATCACCATGAGATTAGCGCTTGTGTTTATCAAACCTACAAATTTACACTTCAGAAAAGGGGCAACTTAAAGGTAATAAAGCTCTTCTCTGAGTATTAGAAATAACACACATTTATCAAGTGATCCAACCTCCAACAAAGTACACAAGTAACTTCTGAGAACACCTCTTAAGTGATCACATGATTAATCACATGTATTACCCGCCAATCAAAACAGCCAATCAGAGAAAAGGTTTCACCCAACATCAGCTATATTGCTTCCTTGCATTTTACTTAGTGTTAAAAAAAAACTGGACCAATATATAATTCACATTTACAACCAACATTTTCAGTGGCAATTAGCATGTGGAATTAACAGCAGTCTAGTGTACAGTTCAGTATGATATATGAATATACAGATTGGGTCTCAATAAACTGAAACTGGCTGAAATGGAAACAAAAAAACTCTGCTTCTTTACTGCAGCTATCTAGGATCTACTTCCTCTGTAGCTCTCTTAAGTTTAATTTAATAGCTCTCATAAATTTAATTTAATTTCAAATTAGATAAAAAGCTTTCATTCTTTTAGTCCCCTTTCCTTCGTTTTATTATGTTTATGTTTCCTAAATTGTCTGAATTTGATTATTGTGACTTATATCTGTGCAAAGTTTGCCATTGGAGAGGCGTTTTCACATGCCTCTTCTGAACGAGATGATGTCTGTGCATTTCCCTAAAATCTGAGAATCAAACGTACTCCAAACTGGACTGGATTCATCACTAATCTGAAAGCCAGTCACTGTCTGATGTGGGAAACTAATATCGACAGGGGCACAGACTTTGTTACGACACCAGCAAAGAAGCCTAAAATCCTCCAGCTCAGAGTGGACTTGTCAGTACAGAGAGTTTGCATTAGCATTGTGAACGTTTTGACAGTAAACATGGTAAAGTTTGCAGTCCTTAGGTGTAAACTTGATCATGGGAGAACACATTTTAACATTGTTGCAGATAATATTGTATGTTTCACAACCACTAACGCTGTGTCAGCCACTGCCACTTACAAGCTAACAAGCTGACAAACAACATCAACAAGATGCTAAATACACATAACCATTCTTTGGTGTACAACAGAGTCCTCATCTGAGTCTGGGTCTGACTGAAGCTCAAACATACGGCTGAATCTCTAACACTTGCGTTAGCCATTTTGATTAGCACTTTCATTGGTCAACCTTGCGCCAGTCTCCTATAGTCAGACCTATCTCCACACTTCATCTAAGCAGCAAGCGGTGGTGGTGAGTGGTGCAGAGGCCAGATCCACAATTTCTCAGTGAGGTAGAAACAGTAGATCTGCTTCCAGCCCCCTCTCAGAGTCATCGTAGAATATTTTTCCATACTTTAAAACATGTCTCAAGGGGAACTTTAACTTTTGCAAATAGTGTACTTACTTTCACTTACATTCAGAATTCACTTTGATAAATAAAAGCTCTGGTGACTTTGAAAGCCATAACATATGATTCATTAATTCAGGTTTCTCTCTCTTTTTTCTATTTTATTTTTGCATTAAGTACTACATACTGTATATTAACTGTATGCTGTTCATTTGTTGTGTTGGCAGGTATGGAGGTGGCTGCAGCTCTAACAGACAAGGCTCACTCAGTGTCTGTCATCGGGATCGAGTCAGTCCCCTTTAAAACAGCTCTCGGGGAGAAAGTAGGGAAAGCCATGATGAAGGTAGGGACACGGCCATCATTACTCTCTAGAGGACAGGGGGAAAATCCCTTTAGTTAAAATGCAAATCACATTTTTCTGGTCAATACCACAGTAACCACAAGAGACAGCTTAAATCTTCTCATGCAAATTCAACTCTTGCTGTTTCCACATGGTGACGATGTCTGTGGTGTGTTTTGTGTTCTGCAGCTGTTCGAGGTAAACAGGGTGAAGTTCTACATGCTGAACGAGGTGTCAGAGATGATTGGCCATCATGGACAGGTATCCAGAAAGTGAGAGAAACAGCATGACATGATGCTCAACAGAACACCCCTCTCTTGTTTAATCCATGATGAAGATGAGAAGAGACGATTAACTAAAATAAAAAGCTCTTTGGTGTGTGCCAACTTTAAAGCCTCTGGAAATGTGGTGTAAAAGTATTTTTCTAAAACATTGATCAGACTCAGAAATACTTAATTGATACCCAAATGTAATGGGATTGTTACAGTTGCTCTTAAAGCACAGAAAAAATATAAGCAAAATACAAAAAACTGAAAAATAAGAACTATGTAAAAATACTGCATGTGCATTGTGCTACAATATATAAAGCAATATATAGAAATTAAATAGAAATATAATAAGTATGTACAAATATGTGAATTATACTTCATTATAGAATCAGTGTAAATAAAACACGTGACTTTTTTAAAATAAATAATTGACGAAAAGAGCAATTAAACTTAAGATAAGAGGGATATTTTATGATAAATGTAAGACAAGATAAGAGATATTTACATGTTACGGCAGCTAAAGAGTCAAAAGCAAGAATAAAAGGGAGAAAAAGTGAATGGGTGATGAATAAGGAAATAGATATGACTAAAGTACATAAAATAAAAATAAAATGATATTAAATCTAAATACACTTAATGCAGCTTTCACTTATATAGATACTGTATGGTCATGATTTATGGTTGTACAGGATAATTGTAATACACAGATGGTGTCTAGTAGTAAGAGTTTAACAGTCAACAGGTTTGCTTCATCTGGAGTGAGTGCAAAAAAATCCCATAAATTATTTATAGATTTTAATTCAGACTCTTCTGTTCTCAAAGGCTGTGTTTGAAATCAATCCCTATTACAAATAATAGAATTAACAATTAGCAGCTCTAACTTTGGCAGAAAATTGTTTACTGTATATATGACCCAGTCACTCAAAGTCAGAGATGGTAAGGAAAAAGGTTTGTGGGAGTAACCTCCTGAATAGAAATGTCAAGACTGTAACATTGTGCACATTTATGACATGTCCTGGACTTTTTGTTTTCCCTGTTTACACAGCTGAAAGAGGTGGTACTGAAGAGTGGGAAAGTCCTGCGGGCAGACGTGTGTGTCATCGGAGCAGGTGATGTCAAAGATGATGCAAAATGCACCTTCCTTCGAATCTGTCCTCGTTAACTGCAGTGACCTTTAGAGGTGCAGTTCACCCCAAAATCAAAAATATATATTTTTTCTCTTAGCTGTAGTGCTATTCACCGGTCTAGATTGTTTTGGTGTGAGTTTCAGAGTGTTGGAGATATCGGCGGTAGAGATCTCTGCCTTCTCTCTGATATAATGGAGCTAGATAGCACTCGGTTAGTGGTGCTCAAACCACCAAATAATACATTTGAAAAATTCAACAGCAATGTCTCTTAACAGAAAGCATGACTGTGTTACTAAAGATTATCCACAGACCTTGTTGTGAGCAGTTTCATGTAGGAACAATTTTCTTTCTACCGAACTGCACCCTCAGACCATATCTCTGCGCAGTTCCACTGAGCTAGCTACAGCAACATCATCACATCAAGTCATTAGGCCCCCATCTCACAGAAAGCGTTGCAGGTTGAAAAAGCATACCGCACTGCCTTTTTCTTTTTTAATTGAATGCCAATGGTTAAAAAAAAAAACTTGCTACATCTTTTTATTGTTGCCAGGCAACCAACCCACCACGTCCTTACACTCACCTTCCCATGTAATCAATGTGATTTTAATTTTTTATTTTTTACCACAGTAATCAGTATCTAGTTCCTAAAATGTCTAAGCAGAGGGTACTTGCTGTAGCTCTGGTGAGAGGCTGTCAGCAAATAGTTTGTTGGGCAAAGGGAAATGACAATCTGTGTGGATACATGAGACCCTAAAAAAAATGGTTGACCACGGGGAGTACCACCAGTTGTACCAGGAGCTTCGCCTCCATGATTGCCATCTCCAGGCATATTTTAGGATGACTCGGGGCAGTTTCACAACCTGTTGTCTATCATCGGCCATAAAGCTCTGGGTATCCAGCAACCGCTACCACCAGTTTCTCCTCCATTGTTTACCAACTGTAAACTTGTTGTTGTGACCACAACAGAAGGCCCGCCTCTCACATTGTCTGACTGGACAATGGGAAAAAAAAGACGAGAAAAGAGATGACGTGAAGCGCTTTACCGCTCTGAGTTGAAGTTTTTTAACTCAAGGAATTCAGAGCTCTGGCAAAAACCTGAGGCACCTAGAGCGCAGAAATATTAGGTGCATCACAACAGAAAAAACGTGAGCAAAAAGTTTCATTTTCACTAAAAGCAATTACAAAAAGCTGCCCCCAGCTGCTAAAATGCTTTCTGTGTGATCAGGGCCTTAATGTTTACATCTTCCACTGTCAAAAAAACATGAGCCTGTCGTCCATGAGTAGATGCATGCTTCCTTCTGCGAGCTGATACAGTTGGCAGATGTAATTTGGTAGAAAGAAAATAGTTCCTACATGAAACTGTGGATTATCTTGACTAAGTAGGTCATGATTTCTGCAACTTACACCTAAACAATTTAGATAGTTAAACAGCACTACATGTGTGGGGAACAATACAGACTTTTTATTTTGGGGTGAACTGTCCCTTTAATCAGAGCAGATAATGAGACTCTCTTTTAATAATTTATAGTAGATACATATTTAACCTGTTTTCTCATATGTGCCTCAGGAAGTGTTCCTGCAACAGGCTTCCTGAAACAGAGCGGCATCCACATGGACTCTAAGGGCTTCATCACTGTCAATAAGGTATTTTTGCAAAAGCCTGCAGCCTGAGTGAAACTGTTTTGTCCCAAATTTACTCCTCTAAACTTTGTCCCAGATGATGCAGACAAATGCTGACGGGGTCTTTGCTGGAGGAGATGTGGTGGTGTTTCCTTTCCCACCACGCAACAACAAGAAGGTGAACATCCCTCACTGGCAAATGGCTCATGTACACGGTGAGTGTGTCACCATGACTGCATCTCTGCTTCACTGTGATGATGATTTACTTGCTTAAAGACCAGCGTGTCATTGTTGTTTTCTGCCTTACTGACAGGAAGGGTGGCAGCTCTCAGCATGATGGGCAGAGCCACTGAGATCAAAACTGTGCCTTACTTCTGGTCAGCAATGTTTGGGAAGACCATACGCTATGCAGGTAGATATCTATCTCTAATTTCAACAGTGTTATTATAAGGCGGACATGCTGTAAGAGGAAGATCAGAGGCTGACACACAGTTGCATCAAGTGTAGTTACCACACTGCCATCTAGCTGTAATGATAAAATAATAATAAAGACATAGAACTGACAGGCTGAATTTGACTGTTTGTCTTTTTGCTGTTGATAAATATACATATATTTTTGTGAAGGTTATGGTGATGGATTTGATGATGTCATTATACAAGGAGATCTGGATGAACTGAGGTTTGTGGCGTTTTACACCAGGTACGTTTTATTTTAATAACAGTCTTAAATAAACCAAAATGATGGCGAATATTTGGTCTTAATTTGTGTTTATGAGCTTATTTAAGTCTTCAATTATGACTCCTAGTCTATTTTCTAATTGTTTCCTCCTCTGGTCCATCTATAGGAGTGAGGAGGTGGTTGCTGTTGCCAGCATGAACTATGATCCCATTGTATCCCGAGTGGCAGAGGTCTTAGGGTCCGGAAAGACGATTAAGAAACGAGATGTAGAGTAAGTCTCCTTCCAAGTCTTAAATCGGGTCCTGGTTACAATAGCTGTTATGTTCTTTAGGTTTCTCAGGTTTTACTGTGAAGAAAAACATGACACAAGTTATCACTCTGACAGTAAACAGTTGTGGAGCTTGTGACTTTAATCACATGGAAAGTATTATAAGACTATGGCTTATTGAAGCTGCAGGTCAGAGTGCTACAGAAAAATAACACCACTTGTTATTTTGCTTAATTAATACAGTGACGCTTCATTTTACATGTTGTGTAATTTTATAATGATTCCTGTGGATATTTGCTGGGGGAAAAAATCTTTGTCATGTAGTATTAATTATTGGTAAAATAGTACACAATAGAATAAGCAAAGTTCTGAAACTGTATTTTAGGTACAATAAATGTAAATATATTTGCATTTTTATGAAAGAACCAGGGAATTATATAGTTACATAGTTGATCTTAAAGTCAGTTATTAATATATAGAGGAATTGCTGGTAACAATTTACATTAACCACCCCATCAAGTATTTATAAGCGTATATAAACACATAATAAATTCTTTATAACACACTAAAATGTTCTCATACACAGATATTAAAAACATTTTAAAGGCACAGATCACCCAAAAATCAAAAATACATATTTGTCCTCTATTTATCAGTCTAAATTGTTTTGGTGTGAGTTGCAGAGTGCTAGGTATATCAGCCATAGAGATGTCTGTCTTCTGTCTGATATAATGGAACTAGATGGCACTTAGCTTGTGGTGCTCAAAGGAACAAAAAATACATTGTTAAACTCAACAGCAATGTCTCTTTCCAGAAATCATGACCTGGTCACTCAAGATAATCCTTACATTTTGTTTGTACAGTTTCATGTAGGAACTTTTTTCTTTCTACTGAACTACACCAGCCAACAGTATCACTACACTGAATGGCTCACTTAGCACCACTGAGCTAGCTAACGTTACAGCCCTCTCATCCAAAAATTTGCATATATTTGTATGTCTGGCTCCAGAAATCTAAGATAGCGATGGCCAAAATGCCAAACTCGAGGCTGCAAAACAGCAGTCCACAAACCAATGGGTGACATCACGGCGGCTATGTCCATTATTTTTATAGTCTATGGCAGGGGTCTGCAACATTTGCCATTAAAAGAGCCATTTTTGACCAAGAATAATTTGAAAAAATCTGTGGAGCTGCAAAACATGTTTGAGCCTTATACTCAAGGTAAATAGCCTATTAAGTCTAAATTAGCATATACTTACGGTCTAAATAAGCATTTGTTAATATGTTTTACCACAAGGTGGACACTGTGCAGGGCACTATTTATGATTATTTGGTACTTAAATTTTGCAGAGCTGGCAGTGAGAGCAAACAAATCCGTCCACGCACTACTACATTCTCTATTTTATTCAATTTACTTTTTTGGATTTGGCATCCATAGCTAACCAGCCACTGCTATCGAGGTTCAGCAACATTTGGATTCATAGAATGAATTTCCATAGACTTCTTTTCTCAAAGGCTCAAGAAGCCACTGGACAGGGGCTAAAGAGCCACATGTGGCTCCGGAGCCACAGGTTGCCTATCCCTGGTCTATGGTTACAGCTCAGCCAAGGAGGACATACATCTTGTGCTGTCACGAGCATGACCCCTCATACATAAGTAGACATGCTTCCTTCTGTACATTGATAGGTTTGGAGGGTGTAGTTCGGTAGAAAGAAAGTAGTTCCTACATGGAACTGCTCACAACAAGGTGTGTGGATTATCTTGAGTAACCAGGTCATGATTTCTGGAAAGAGAAATTGCTGTTGAGTTTAACAATGTATTTTTTGGCACTTTGAGCAGTGCCATCTAGTTCTATTATATTTAAGAGAAGGCAGACATCTCTGTGGCCAATATCTTCAACACTTCGCAACTCACACCAACACAATCTAGAATGATGAACAGCACTACAGGTAAGACTTCAGGGTAAACTGTTTCATTAAGTGTTTATTAATGTGTTTGTTAACCAATGCGTTAATAAAAACTTAAAAATGTCTTTATATTGGCTCACAACTATTATAGTATGTTTTAGTGTGTTGTAAACTATTACTTGTTAATATGATGCTGATAAATTGGGAAGGAGGATTAAAATAAAGTTTGTGTGAAAATTAATTTCTTGTTCAGCTGACTCTGCATTGACTAGAAGACTCAAGGTTGCACTACGAAAAAAAAACCAAGTAATTAATTTTCCCTAGTCCTCCCCAGAAACACTTCACGTCTGCAGCTTTATAATTCTTCATTATTAAATTTCTGTATTATTAGCAAACAGGACCTGTGACATAAAGTGTGACCACACTGATATCATGTTGCTGTACTTGTATTACTTTATTGTTACTGCGTACAGTTCTGCCTGTTGTGTCTTTGTTTCTGTCTAATTTAACTGTAGTGTTCCTCATGTCTCCTGTGTCTTTTATTTCTAATAATGCAAACTCAAAATGTGAAGGATGTTAGCACGGCTTGGCAAGTACGGACAAATATGAGCCTTTTCTACTTTCCATTTCACTCATATGGACCATGTGTAGGGAGCAATCGACTGGATAATCATGTACACGTGTTTGTGTCTGTGTCTCATATAGCAGTTTTTTTTTGTGGTTCACAGGACTGGAGATATTTCTTGGTTGATTGACAAAGGCTCTCAATGACTTCCCATCTGATGGACAGACCCAAAGTCCACTGGACACCTCAATATGGACACTTATGGTGCTGAGACACTGAGCAGCTATCCTGGTCTGGACACACACTTATAGACACACACACTGGGGACAGGACTGTGGCTGTTGGAGACACACCTACCCGAGGACAACACTGAAACTTGCTTCTGTTCACGAGAGACACTTTAACGTGACAAAGCGTCACAAACAAAGCAATATTGGATTCAGCCTCTGTGCTGCTGCAAGATGTATCTACCTGTACACTTTGTTTATAAGAAGCCAGGGATGGGCATTGGCATTTTTTTGTACAAATAACATTGTATATACCTATAATCCTGAATGCACTGTAACTAAATAAGAATATACAATTTGAACTGAATTTTTCTAAGTTTTAACAGCTTTGGTTGTATGCTCACATACAGGCCTTAGATCTGCATGCTATTAATTAACTTTAACGGGAGTTAAAAATAAGCCCCTTAACAGAGAGTTTTCAATCTAGATGCATCAGCAAACAAAGCTTAAATCTGCTAAAACAAACTGCAGCAGAACCCTGAATGCAGCTTTAACAGACTCACTAACACATGCGCAGCTTTAATTCAAAATAAATGACAATTTCTAGGATTAAAACATCTTTGTATTGGTTGCCTTGCTACTGTAGTAGATTGCACAAATGAAATCCAAATCATACTTTGATCTAACACTAGTGCTTGCACAATAGATTCATGTATTTCCTAAGAAGTAGATAGCACCCCTTTAGAAAAATCCCATAGTAGTTTGAAAGAGGACTTCACCCCCCCCCCCCAAAATAACCATTTCTATATCAATTACTCACCTGTGTTATGTTGAATTTGTGAAGAAAACTTTATCTGAAACATCAAAACATCTGTTTACAAACCCTTACACAACCTGTGCAGTATAATGCAAGATTCATTTATCCCATTGTATGTTCAGTACTTCCCAAACATACAGCTCTTTTCAATGGGGAACCCAAGTAAAACTTAAATATGCTCCTTTCAGAACCAGGCTCCATTGACAAAACAGTAATTTTACCTCAACAAACACAGGAGCTACTGGTCTACCATTGCCTCCATCAGTTAGTGTGTTTGTGTTTTTGTGTGCTGAATCTGAACTAACCCCGTAAAACAGTTAAGTCACACAATAACACAAACTAACTGATTGAGGCAGTGGTAGACCAGCAGCTCCCGTGTTCAGTGACATAAAACTTTAGGTTACTTGCGTAACCCCGGTTCTCAGAGTAGCATGCGTGAGATGTCTCACTATGGGATACGCCTTCTTGCATATTCCTCAGAAGCATTTATCTCATTACGCCAATCATGGTGATTACGACGTCAGTGTCAGGTGGAAATTTCGAGTATCACAAACTGTTTGAGGCAGTGGTAGAGCAGCAGCACCCACGTTCAGCGAGGTTTAATTACTGTTTTTGTCAATGGAGTCTGGCTTTGAAGAAAGCATAGATACGTTTTACTTTTGTCAGAAAGAGCTGTCTGTTTGGGAAGTACTGAGCATACAATTGGGTAAATGAGACTAGGAATATACTGCACAGGTTGTGTGCGAGTTTGTAAACAGATGTATTGATATAGTTTTGTTGTTGTCATACACAGCAACCCTTTAACTTCAATTCATCATTAATTTTTTTTGGATTCTTTGTTTACTGTGGGGGCATGTAAGACAAAGTTTTCTTTATGAATTCAACGCAACACAGGTTGAGTAATTGATATGCAAATAGTCATTTAGGGGGTGAAGTATTTCTTTTAAGGGTGTTTTTTTGTTTGTTTTATAGCGGTCACCTCCATTGGGATATTCTTTGTTACTAACTCAGGGAACTGAGGTTTGTCGTCTGGGCTCACAGGCAAAATAAGCAGAAATGAATTTGTTGCTTTAATATTTTTTTCCCAGTTATTTTAATTTCAACAGTTCTCTCATGTTCATTCAGAACTGCTTGTAATGGGTATAAAGCGGATGCTTGATTACATCCTGGTGTGCTGATGTAATCATGGCACAAAAGTCAACTCAGCATTTTAAAAAGCATCGTTCTTCCTACAGAGAAGCCTGGAACGGCATTTTTATAACTAAACTTTGAAATAAAAGTCTTCCAACAATAACTAGTCTCTGCTTTATGTGTCACCTCATTCTCCATGTTGCTCCACCTGCTGTTCATGTGTGCATTCATCACTTCATTAAAACAGTCAGTAGAGTCAAAGTCAGTAGAAAATGTTTAATAACTCCAGGAAGTGACAGAGCATAGTTTGAAGGTTTAAAAGTTTCATTTTTGGATTACTAAAAAAAACATTCTAGTCAAATTTGGAAAAATGACAATAGATAAAGTCACACGCAAGTTTCACAAATTTATAAATGACTTATCCCAGAAAAACAAGATTTTTCCTGAACAAGGAGGAGTACACACACAATACAACAGTGTTCACAATGATATTGCAAACAGCCCGTAGAGGTTTTTCTACATTATTTGGGTAAAAAGCACCTTGAAGATGAATAAATATATCTACAAACATTGGAGTGAAGGCATTACATGGTGTTGTCGTACAGTCACACAGATCAATAAACAACATGAAGGGTTCAGCGCTCTTTAACAACTAGGACAGTGATTCCCAACTGGTGGGTCACAGGTCCATTTCGAATGGACCAAAAGTGACTTGCAAATGTGTTAAGTTTGTAAAAAGCACTTAATTATGAAGTACAGGGAATTTCCGCACAGAGTTTTTATTCTGAAGTGCTGTTTCCTGTTGTAGAGTGAGTGACTAACGAACAACTATTTGACAGAGACAGCAACTAGCTCAATGACATGGCCAAACGCAAGTATGTTGCTGAATGTAATAAACTGTGTGGACCTTGAAGTGATGACTAAGGAGAAATCTGGACCCTGTGGCTGGACCAGTTGGGAACCATTGAACTGGGAGATACCATCAGTGCAGTGACATCACTACTCACCAGTTTTAGTATACTGCTCTCATACCACAGGCTCTGACTATGGTTTATGTAAAATACTATCACATGATAATGAATCATTTATAAAAATATCTGATGTCTGGACAAATCCCACAACAGAACAAACGTCTAACAGTTGGGCAGTCAAAAGCTTTGGAGGCAGGAGAAAGCTTGCAGCTTTACTGGTATGAAACTAGTTGATAAAATGTGCGACCATAATGCCCAAGAGTTATCACAGCAATGGTTATTGCTAACAGTGAAACATAACTGTAGGACATTCTGGGACCTTATAGAGACGACATGACAGATTTCAGGACAGTGCTGTGAGAGTTGAGCACTACATGAGAACACTGAGAACAGGCTTTACAGAGGACATCATGAAAACATTTTTTGCTGGTAGGAGGCAGCTGCAAATTACTTATAACAAAATTGAGAAAAATTTGTAAACACTTCATTCTGACATTAATTTTTATGTAGTACAAAAACTGAGAAAAATGAATTCACATTATGAGATGTGCTTTCATCGAACGATTATAATCACAGACTCTCCTGCACTGACTTATAAAGGCACTTCATATTAATCTTTAATTGAAGCTCTTGAGATGATGCATGCTGGCAGTGATAGCTGCTGCATTGAGACGTTATACTAGCCTGACTGAAATTAGAAAAACCTGATCATTTGGTGGATGATAATCTGCTTAAAAAAGTCCCACTGATTCCTTTATGAACACTAAATGATGCCCCGTGGCAGACGCGCCAATTTTCACAAAAATCTTGTAGCAATATGCCGACACGTGTGAAATCCGTCTTCAGCTGGCCCGAGGTCAGAGGTCATATTCTGCGGCGCACTGCTGAAGGTACCATTCATACAATTTACCCTGTCGAGTAAAATTAACTGTGTGAGATTCTGATGGTTCAAATTTGACAAATGAAATTGAGTTCATTAAAACATGCAGTGAAGCTGTGATATATACATGAAATTCTGGGACTGGTTCTGGTCTGCTTTCTTTTTTTTCCTGCAACAATCATTTAATTTAATCACATTCTGTATTGACCTTTCTATATTGTAGATTTCATTGCTAATGAGTTTGCCATTCCTGTGCTGGGTTTAATTTGCCTTTCACAAGGGACTGACAATAAATAGTGCAGCATGCAATCCAACATAAAAAAAAAATGATACCAGCTGACACATTAGCGCTTTATATAGTTGTTGTGGTGAAGTGTTAGCAGTGCAGCTGTGGGCTGTAAATTCAAAACAATTGACTAAGAGAAGCAAAAAAATCTCTCTAGCGCTGCAAAATTAGGTAATAATTTTTTCTGTGTGTTATTAAGGACACTGTCTACATTATACACAGTAATTACTATGGCTGAGATAATATGCTTATCTCCTGAAACTTGGGCGCTGATACTATATGAAGTGCAATTTTATGTATTGTGATTTGATATTACTTTTTATTGCGCTTTATGTTTGCTTTTTTAACCTACCCAACAGGAAAGGTTGAATCATTTACTGTATATCATGAGGCATATTTCCAAAAACAGTGTATATCACATGTCAGTCAGTCTTTCTGACTTTTATTTCAGCAGCAGCTATGATGCTATATGAAAGTGGTGAATAAAAAAATTTGAAGTTAACTACTACATTTAGCTGTTTCTGCACACGAGCTAATGCCTTAAGAAAATAATAAATAAAATTAAATATCGGGCTAAAGTGAATAGAGCCCATGAAAACTACACACAGCACAAATATGCACCCTTAAATTAACATCCTTCACATATGAAACTGAATTTTAAAACTGCCCTTTCAAAAACCCAGTCTTGACTAAAAGTCACAGATTTTTTTTTTTTTTTTTTTTTTTTTTAGAAAATATAAATATATATACTGCGTATGTGCTACCCTCTTCTGGCATGCAATTTCTCCATCTAGTGGTTGCTATATTTTTAAACCCAGTGGGAAATTTGAATTTGACTTTGACCCTTTGTGGGTGCTGTAGCTGCTCAGTGGAGTGTTTCAGCAGAGTAGAAGATTGGGTTAGAAATGTGAAGTCAGCAGCTATCAGGTCATTTCCACAGAGCACAGGAAATATGTGTCTGTAAGTATGAGCACACATGTCGTATGTTAAGCGTGTGCAGTAAAAGGGATTGTTTGATGAGATAATATTATGGCGAGCACAATGTTAATTTGTGTGTTATTGACAATCCCCATTATGTTTTAGCATTGAGCTAACAGACCAAGCACTAGTTTAATTTAAAAATGAATATCAAAAAAATCATTTCAAAAATTCAGGAATAAAAAAATTGATTCAGGAATCACAAAAAAAAACCTTTTGTACTAGACACGGCACAAAACAGAATCTTACCTTCTTTGCTTTGACGATATCCTGGATATAGTCACTGTATTCAGCCATTGTCCTCTTCTCCTTCTTTGTCAACGTCTTATTCCCTCGGCTGAGAATAAAGAAAAGCACGACAATGTATGCTCAGAATTTCAATAATCACTTCCTGTGTTTGTGCGTCTGTGTGTATGTGTGTGAGATTGTGTATATGTTTAATGCATTCTCGGAACCCATCGGCTGTATTCGGCGTCTGACTTCCGGCAGACAGCGATACAGCCTCTGGGGGCAGACCCCCGATTTTTTGGCATTCCGGTTTGATTTGGGCGGAGGAGGCGAATTTCCATTTCCGACTTCCGTTTATATATAAGTAAATATGCTGAACTATTGCGATGGATTCAGAGTTTGCAGTGACACCAATTATGTTCCACCTCGTTAGTTCACCGCACAGACCGTTTAACCTGGCAACAACTGCAGCTGACTCAAACATGATGGGTCAATATCACGCGGACTACAAACAATCTACAGCCGGAAACCAGGACTCTTCCGCTCTTCTTCCGGAGGCAAGATCTCTGGGGTTTGCCTACAGTCTGTATATAGAGAATATGTTTAATGTAAATCTATTTCAACATAAAACACGCACCTCCCATGACAAAACAGAAAGGATTCTACTTCATTTAGACATATCTCTGAAGGTTAATGTTATTTAGGTTAAAGGAGCAATAAGCGAAATTCATCATTTCTAGACTGAAGGAATTAAAAAATTGCTATGTGAAGAACTAGAGGTGTAATTTCATCTAGAGTATAGCATGACCTCACACACCCTCTCTCTGTGTTGATCTCCAGCCCATTGTTTACAAGCTGGTCTGGCTGCGCGTTCATGTACGTTCATGTGAATCCCCCCCCCCCCCTCGGAGCCCTTGGCCCTCCCTCCCTATAAAAGGCTACAGCCAGTGAGCAATGGCAGTGTGTATTTTCGAAATGAAATGAACGTAACGTCTACCTGAAGACGACCAGGATCTGACATTACCTCTAAAGAAACAACAGTTGTTGGCGAAGAAGTTGTCGGATAAAGAAAGGGACAGAACTTGGATTAACATTGGCCTTGCATTTCCAAGGTGGAGAGCACTGTGAGAGCTAAAGGGGCTACAATCTGACTCGGAGCTAGCTCTTCTTCTCCTGGACAGGTACAACATAAAGTCAAATGTCTGTTTTAATTAGTGTTACAGTAACGTTAAGCACATGTCGCTATGTCGATTCAATTAAATTTAATGTTACAATCGTAGCATGGGTTAATGTCCGGAGCTTGAGTTATTAGTGGCTCGGTCCCAGCAATGGGTCAGGCGTTTTGGTTGTGTTAGGTGAGTAACCCGGCAGCCCAGCTAACATTTGCAATTAGCATTGTAAAATGTAGCCTGGCGGGCAGCCTGGCGGCTGTGTTTAGCTATTCCCCTGCGTACTTCAATGATGATGGTACCTGTAATAAACGTAATATATTTGCTGAAATGGAGGCGAGGCTCAGTGACTAGAAGAGCTGGTAGAAGCGCTCCATAGCCGCAAGCTACTCCAGTAGCTGTAGTAGCTCTAGTGCTAGCTCTGGGAGCTAACGCTAACATTCCTCTCTTCTGGGCTCACGGAGAAGAGTTGGAACGTTAGCATGGCAGCCGACTAGTGCTAACGCTAACATCCCCATGCTTAAACAGGCTCCCGGAATGTTAGCATGGCAGCCGACTGGTGCTAACGCTAACGTCCCCACGCTAGAGCTCGCCGGAGCCGAGAAGCAGGCTCCCGGAACGTTAGCATGGCAGCCAACTAGAGCTAACGCTAACGTCCCCACGCTTCTTGGCTCCGACTCACTGAGCCTGGCGGAGAAGCGTGGGGACGTTAGCACTAATGGGCTGCCATGCTAACGTTCCAACTCTTCTCCGTGAGACCATGAGCCCGGCTCCCGGCTCAGTTGGAGTTGGAGCGTTAGCGTGGCAGCCGAGTAGTGCTAACGCTAACAGGAAAGCAGGGAAATAGCTAAACACAGCAGAGACCGAGAGTGAGTGAAAGACATTGCTAACTGCTAAACTAAGTTGGCTGTTTAGGTTTTATTTCCTCGCCCCTGTGGCGAGTGAATCTGCCTGCAGTGAAAGTGGGGGCTAACCGGTGCTTCCTCCTCATGCTCCACTTCACTCAGCTGCTAACACAGTCAGTTAGCCTCTGCTAGCTTCCCAGCTTGTTGCTCTCTTTTTGGATCCAACTGGAGCACCGAGCCCTGGTTTGTTATTCAGGTTAATGTGGGAAGAAGCAGCGGGTATATTGGGCATCTGAGTGAAGCTGAGTGAAGCTGAGTGAAGCGGAGCCTGCGGAAGAAACACCGGGACTGTCTGGATGTGATAGTCTGTGGAGATGCTGTGGTACTCGCCGGCACAGACGAGGCGAGTGGGGGGGGGTGGGGGATGTTGGAGAGCAGAGGTAGAGGGAGGAGTGGCTCATTACACACTTTGTTTTGCTCTACAGGCAGTGCACAACAGCGAACCTAGCGGTGAAACGATTTCGCTTATTGGTCCTTTAATCGTTTGTTCCAAAAAATATCAGAAAATAGTGAACAATGTCCATCAGAACTTCCTAAACCCCAAAATGGCGTCTTTGAGTTTATTGTTTTGCCCAATGAACAGTTCAAAACTTAAATAAATTTAGTTTCTCACCATTGAGAAGATGAAATCAGTTCATTTTGGGCCCTTTAATCACTTAATCAATTTATCAATCAAGATAGATGCAGATAAAGTTTCTGTTGACAGACTAATTAATTAATTAATGAGATTTGTGCTTGGGATGTTTATAGGTGTGTACCCCCACAGCGCTCAAGTGATGTCGAGGCTTAACAAAAAGGTAGACCATAGGCAGCCAAAAAAAAAAAAAAAAGGTAAAAAAAAAAAGTATAGCGCGGTGAAACGTCAACGAGTGTGAATCTGGGGTTGGCTTTTACTTTCAGTTTTGCTGGCCCATGTTTTCAAACAGTAATCAACAATCCTGCATAGTACGCCTTTGTAACTGTTTCAGGTCTACATGTGTGTATACAGTGTGTTTGTAATGTGTATTTGTAACACTCACCCTGCAAAATGCTTTGCTAGGTAAAGCAGGAGGTAACAAAAAGCTCCAAAAATGATGACAACCACAACTTGTCCATCTTCTGGTATCCAGTCCCATAAATACATCACTATTCCCTGTTGGACACACGTTGAAAAGACACTCAGATAAACATGTATGCCTTGAGAACAATGTGCAAAATATGGAATTAAATTATATTTTAGTTCAGTTTTATTGTTCAAATATCACCAGCATGATTCTCAAGTCTTACTGTGAAGATGGAGAGCGTCCGGGCCACCCCTTCACCCAACAGCTCATCCAGCTGCTCTTTGGAGAGGGTGTGCACGACGAAACTGAGGATGAAGAGGACAGGAAGGAAAATACCCAGAGCGCCACACAAGAACGAGTGAAGACGGACGCTTTTGTTGTGAGTCACATCAGCCCTGCGTGCACACAGAGAAAATCTGGTTTTAATATCACATTTTCTGCAGCAGATAATAATATTGGGTGACTCTTATCTCTTCCGTATTCACATGACAAGGTTTATTTGCTCTGAGATGCCACCTTTTGCATCAGGGTAAATTAAATTTAACACATGGTGTGCTGTAGGGTGAGAGGTCGAACCTGTCCTTCTCCAGTCTGCTGCTGATGGTGGAACAAATAAGGTCACAGTCTTTCTCCAGCTGATCCAAAGTCTTCTGAACGGCCTGGTTGATAGTTTTCTCGATGGTCTGACACACCCCATCGATCTGGTTCTCACAGCGGCTCGGCTAAACAACACAGAGGCTCGTTATTGCATCTGCTTTTGAATAATTGTACAAAAGTGTTACAGCTGTGCATCTCAAAGACGGAAGGTCTGTACAACGAATCCTGGGAGTATTCTGACAGACAGCCATGTGCACTTAGCAGGAAGTGAAGCTACACTTGCTCAGCAAAAATAAATTGGAGGTGGGGAGGTGCGCACAAATCTCTGGTACAGAGTGGAGCTTTGTGGTTGTAGATCACAAGATGGTGCAGCAGTAACTCAGGACTCGAGCCGCCATTGTCAAAGGTGGCTGATCAAAGACCATGGTTTACAACCCCTGTCCCTCTACCCTCCCCCAAGAGTGGATAACTCTCTCAGTCATTATATCGCAAAATGAATCATCCTGTTCCAGCCATCAAGGGCCACCAGGAAACCAGGAGTGGAAAATTTACATTCAAGGATAATCAATGACTGTTCAACCCCCATGGATTGCAGGGAGCTTTAAATCCTGACCAAAGATCGGACCTGATCTGAGATCTGTTAAAGAAAAACACCAGAGACAGTTCCATTCTGGTGAGGGGGGACACAGCAAGATTAAAGACCCAGTGAAATGAAATATACATTTTCCCAGCTTTAATTCTGAATCCCTGTATTCATCAATTATCTTTAATTATATGCCAAAAAATCTGTATTTTTACATCAGAATCCCTGTCTTTCCTCGTCCAATTTCATATGCCTGATGACTCATCCTGCATTCAGGGGCGCTAACAAAAGTACATCCAATCAAACAAAACTTTGGGTGAATAACTAGCCACACCGGTCATAAAATAGCACTTCAATGTGTGTGGGTCGTAGCAAACTGTGTCTGGTTGGTTGTAGTGGCTAAAAGAGCAATGTGGAGAGGAAGAGAGAGAGATGTGTGTTTGGATATCAGTGGGCAAAATCTTTGTTTTCATTTCCAATGTAGCAAAGGTCTAATTCATCTCTCCTTCACCCTCCTCCTGATCTGTATCTCAATAATATGCTTGACTCTGAGCCTGCCCACTTTTTAGTGGTCCAATCAGTTGCTATGGATTTGAATCCCTCTTGTAACTGTACACTGCTAAAGATGCTCTATAACAAAATATAACACATTACAAGCTTTACCAATGGTATTAAAAGGTACACATCTCAGTCTCCTAAGTGAGTGTGGTCTCCTCTCCCCTTCATCCATCCACCTCGTTTGGAAGCGTTGTAAATGTTGTGTAAATGGATGAAAGCAGATTCAAAACAATACAGCACAGTACAAATTTCATGTTTGCTCCTTATTTATCTGCTGCTTCCTATCTGAAATTAACCCAGAATTAGATCATCTAATAATGTTCTCTGTTCCCCCTCTGAAAACAGTTAAATAGTACGTATTATTATAAATCTATTTATATTTATATTTCTCCGGTTGGAAGGTGATGACAGCAGCAGCACAGTGAAACCAGACAGTTTAGCCCCAACAGGGAGAAGATATTCTGTGGTGCTAGATCTTGTGAGAGTGTGACATGTCTCGAACAAAGTTAATTTTCTCCTGATATGTCTTTCTAAAATATGCCATTTTAGTTCTGGAGATATGTGGCTTGTGAAAACTGGGTCCAATGTTTACTTTGATGAGTACGTGATTAAAAAAAATAATAATTTGTGCTCAGATTCACTTTTCCCATTAAAATTAATGGACTCAAGACCGCTCCTAGTCTACTAAAGGGGCGGGGCAGTGATGAAACCCATGTGACACAGGTTCATGAAATAAAGGTAAAGTGAGCTGTCTCAGTTCATCAATGGTCTCTGACACCGTTCAAATATTCTGTTTCACCGGGAAATATGTCACACTTTGAGGAGAAGTGTCAGATGGTTATTGTTGTTTTCACTTTGTAAAATTAAAAGCTGAAACTAAAATCATGTAGATTTTGACTTAAGTTTTTAAAAAATGTTAAAATGACAATGTTAACTGGCAGAGAACATACAGGACATGCAGCTAGCAAACAGTCTTACCCTTTGTGGGTTGGGGATGTATATTGTAGGCATCTCAAAACCACATTTGTTGAGACCTGGACGACGGCACAGCTCCTGGACTATCTGCATCATCACCCTCTGCAGAAAGAAGCAAATTTATTAGATTTAAGTTGACTTCCTTGAGATCAAATCAGTCATAAACCTTCTAAAAGCCATAAGTAAACTCACCTGTCTGTCTGTTTCCCTCCCAGCTTCATCGGCCTTGCTGAGGTAGAACAACAGTTTGTCTCCACATTTCTCACTCAGCTTCTCCACAATGTTGAGTGTGCGTTTGCAGAGCGCCTGGCCCATCGGGTCGAAGAACACAAATATAAGATCGGCCTGTTCTCCTGCACACACACACAAACAATAAAAACATCCATTAGAGAATCCCAGCAGCTTTACAGTGGGTAGTAAACCTTACAGCTGCGAAGACATACCCATCCAGGTGATGGCGCTGTTGACATCAAAAGGGTAGACCATGTCTCCGTCCACCAAACCAGGTGTGTCCACAAATGTCACCAGACTGAACTTCTTCTGCTTGGAAGTGGAGATCTCAGCACACAGATAGTCCGTAACACCTGGAATAAACAAACGCAGTGTGTGTACAGGTGCTTCCTTCAGGATAATTTCATAGTAACAAAGACGATAAATAAAAAGTGGAGTCCCTGCAGGAAGCTGTCACCTCTAATGACTATATTATTATGTATTGGTGGAAGCCGCAGTGCGGTCAATACTTGGAAACCTGAGGGAGGCCAGCAGTGACACAAAAGATCAAGAAGCAGTCAACTTCTGGTGCTTGCAGGTTTGCATTAGCAAGAAATGTGCATTTGTAATTGAACTGCAAAAAGGTACAGGGCGATCTGGATACAGATGTTAGCTGTAAACATGCATCAACACAATCTGAGAGAAACAAACATCAATAAATTCAGGGTCGAACTCAAAACAGCGGCCACACCCTCGGGGGTCAAACTTCAATTTTAACACAAGAAAACATTCGTTAGGTCTCAGTTTTCTCTCCGTCCCCTCTGCAGAGCGGTCTGTTGTCATGGTTACACACAACAGCTCTTCAACTGGCAGCTTTAGTGTGGGGCGTGGGACATAAAGCTAGCCAGTGAAGAACGACTGTGAGGCAACGCGCTGTGAGGTTACGATACTCCACAACCACCACACGAGTCGCCCTTTAAACCCCGACCCTGAGCACCAGAACAGGATCACTATTTAGACACTATTGACAAAATAAAGCCCACCCACACCCAGCACCCCATCCTCCCTCTACACACACACACACAGAGGCCTGGGATGATACTGAGGCTGTTTCATAGGAAGAGGCAGGTGTTAACAGCCAGTACAAATCCCATCCTTGTGCTGCAGCGAGCAGGGCCACTGCTGCTGTGGCACATTAGCATTCCCTTATGTTTCTCTTACATCAGCATGGCCACAGTATCAATGCATCTGCCTCCTATCACACGTCTTAGAAGAGTATTCCCACAGCCTCGCTATATTGAGCCATTATTGTCGCGGACAAGGTGACAGGATGACTGCTGCTCTCACAAGAAAAACATCATATACATGCAGATACTATCAAGTAGCTTTACTTTAGATCTCTGTAAGGCTGCTGGTCTATACTTCCCTTACACATGCATACACCTTTCCATTACTACAACGACAAAAACAGAAATTATTAAAGTAAGAATAAGTGAATCAAATAGCCTTGATGCAGATATATCCATCCACTCCAGCTGAAGAAAGTCCTCTGAGTCTGTTGAAAGGTGAAAAGGAAATGAGGGCAATACTCGCCGATGGGTGCTAAGTTCCTCAAGTGACTGTAACTGAGAAGGCTACACTGGAGATCCTGTGCACGAGGAAAAGGGCAAAGGCTGCAATAATGCTGCATCAACCAAGACTAAAAAAGAACTTGTTGGACTAAACAGGTCAAACAAGACGCAGTGCAAATATATCTTAAGAAAATGAGTAAACAACACGGACAAAAATCTAACAATATAGAACCATCTGACGTGTGACGAAAACAGTCCCATGCAGTATTTTAAACTCTTGACAACAGGTTGATAAGACAAAGACAGAAAGACAGAGTTAAACATCCTTTATGTAGGTCTAAAACAACATCGAGAAGTATCTCTAAGCACACCCCAAAGGACAGCAAACTGTATAACCAGCAGCTACTCCCACATAAGGATATATGGTGCTTTTCTGATGAGTCATCCTCAGTCGCTGTGACAGGTAAACAAATGCCTGATATAGTGTATTTCCAGAGGCAGCAGTGAAGTTCAAATAAAAAGCCTGCTTGTATTCCAGCAGCAGATCGTTGGTGTTGCTCGGGGCCTGCGGAGTGGAGCTGCTGCTGCTGCTGGGGCTGTGCCGTCTCTAATGGCTGTGACATTTCTCAGCAGCTCCTCCTGACTCCGCTGCACTGCTGTCGATGGGGCGTGTGACTCACAAGCCATACCGTGAGCGCTCTGGTCCGCACCCAGTGAACCCTCACTCTCCACGCACTCACTATCAAACGCATGCACATACATTACCACCCTCCCCCACCACCACCCTCCGCACTGATGCTCCCACTCAGACAGCAGGCACACCCTGACTTTCTGCATGACCACCTCAACATCCAGAGACCACTACTGACGCACACAGAGCTGAGTCCGATTGTCTCAAAACAATATGCCACTAATTACGTCTCTTTCTTCAGTGTGAGTGTAATCTCGACTCCCATATCTCAGAAACAAACTGCACAAATGTAATGAGAGGGGGGAAAGGAGTGTGGACTGATTTATAAAGAAAACTTAATACGTCAAAGATATGACTCAGCGTTGAGTCATCAAGGTGAAGCACCTCAACTCAAATCACCAGAATCTACCATGTGGAAACCAGAAACATGTTAGCAACACAGTTAAATTTCATGAGCAACACACAGGATTAAACAGCCAGAATTTTAGTGGATGAAATGTTTTAATGTTTCAAAACTCAACTTTTGAACTTGAGTCCAGTCTATAACATACGCTTAGATTAACTTTCCAGTAAGAAATATTCATGGGCCACACAGCAGAGCGCTATCTTAAACCTCAAAGGAGCCAATCTCTGGCTGCAGCTCCTAATTACATTCATCTCCTGCTCACTATTCCTACTGCTGTTCCAGTAAATGTTAACACTTCATCCTCTCTGTTCGCTCTCTCATGTTTTCCATCGTGATGTCAGCCAAGGAAAAAAAAAAACAGATCAATAAAAAGACACAATCATATGTATTTCTGCCCTGCACACACTACAAAGGTGATGACATTAATTTAAATTTCAGGCATCACACTCAAAGTTAATGAGCATGTGTTGTGCACCACGACTGCAGTGCTGATCTTATCATCGCACATTTTACGCTAGTTTCAGTATCAAAGGCGGAGAGATGCAACGCCACAAGATTTAAGAGATTATCCTCACAAGGAACACATAAAACATTAACTAAACTGTTAACATTATGCATGATATTTAGAAATATCTCCGTTACATGATGCATCTCATTAAAAACAGTGCAGGATTTAAACATAATGGTTTATTTAAGAACATATAAATGGATATCAGTGAAGGATTAGCACAGTGGAGAGGCATGTTGCTATTTTAGGTACAACAATGTGAAATACTTAAAATAGTGCACTTTTTAGACACCCTTTATGACTTACTGGTGCTAAAACAAGAAGAAAAGGCTTACCTTTGAACTCCAGGAGTGGACGAAAGTGAGGGTAGAGATGTAGCGTTGCATTCCCCTGTGAAAGAGTTAAAAGCACAACGTGAGAAATAACCTGATCAGACAAATATTGATCTGCATTTCGTCTGAGCTTCAGACCAGCTACAACAGAGTCCTCTCTCTTCTTGGTACTTCGCACTCAGTCTTTTTTCACCAGCCGCTGCAGCTCGGCACGCTTGCTTTAAGCTTTTTCTGTACATAGGAGATAATCCTTCCACTCTGCAGTCCTGCGCTGCAAATATATTATTCATCTTCATCACCTTCACCACAGCAGGATGTGAGCAGAGAGGCAAAGGATGAGAGAAGACGGAAAGACAGGTGTCTCCCGAGCCTGTTTATATGCTGCAAAGAGGCATCCTCTGTGTGTGTGTGTGTGTGTGTGTGTGTGTCTTTACAACAAAGCCCCTCATTGGAGCAGCATACAGAATGAGAAATCACCACTGACTAAAGGAGTGCCCCTCCGTACAAGCTGACATCAAATGTATCACTTCATCAACCTTTATGAGCAGCTGCAGCTTCAGCTCCCATAACTAAAGTTAGAAATCCCTCACCCACAGAACTGTACTGTCTGATTATGAAACGCTGTTAATTAAAAAGTAAGTACTGTTAAATACTTTTAATTAACAAACACCAATAAGACCTAGAAATAAATTATAAAAGCATTAAAATGAAGCATGCAGCACAAAGTTGGTTGAATTTATTATGGTTCTCTTTTCAAGCATTAGTTGGTACCTTCCACCAGAGTTTATATACATTAAATTCTTCTGCAGGAGCGCTGTAAATTTTTGTCTTCATGCCTGTTCTTACCGTCAATGATTCTCTTTTGCGACCACTTGTGATGAACGTAAATCCCTGCGTTTCAATGGCAACGCCTGTTTTCTGGATGTGCTCTTCGACATACCTGTAATGACAAAAATGGACATTGAATTCATCAAAAAAAAAAAAGAAATCTTATTTTTGATTTTGCATTTATCAATGCACAGGACCGACAACACTTTATACTGTATGATAGCTGCAGCTACTTAACAAGTAGTATATCTTTTTTCTTTTATTCTTTCTTTTTTTTTTATTTTTTTTTTTTTACAATGCATCAATTTTAAATGTCAGAAAATGTCCATCCATCCATCTTCTAACCGCTTCATCCTCTTGAGGGTCGCAGGGGGGCTGGAGCCTATCCCGGGTGACATTGGGCGAGAGGCAGGGTACACCCTGGACAGGTCGCCAGACTATCGCAGGGCTGACACATAGAGACAGACAACCATTCACGCTCACTTTCACACCTACGGATTTAGAGTTATCAATTAACCTAGTCCCCAATCTGCATGTCTTTGGACTGTGGGAGGAAGCCGGAGTGCCCGGAGAGAACCCACGCTGACTCGGGAAGAACATGCAGGCTCCCACACCCGGGATTGAACCAGGAACCCTCTTGCTGTGAGGCGACAGTGCTAACCACCACACCACCGTGACGCCCGTCAGAAAATGTCATGTTATTTATTTTGTCTAATGAACAGATACAATTTAAAAATATTTAATTTACATTATCCAAAGCAGGTAAAGTTGCAAATACTCAAATTAAAGAGGCTGGGACAAGTGAGTGTGTTGGGCATTTTGTCAATTTATTTTCTGTCTATCATCTGATCAGTTAATTGTTTGATCGTTTCAACATAAACTAGCCTGGTCCCTATATAAAAGGGCAGTTTACATGTTAGAGGACTGTAGGAGGTGGGATGTGAACCTGTCATCAGTGTTGTTGTTATGAATTAACACCTCAGGAGGTTAGACGATAAACTACACAATGTAAAAAAGGATACGGCTCATTAAAATGTGCAGACAAGCTGATAAAACTTCCTCTTATACTCTAATGCTTTAAAATCCAACAGTTCTTCCTATTAATAATAAATGTGAGAACTATTAAGATTAAATCTGTAATATTTGCATAAAGTCAGAGAGCAACACGCTTTTTTTAACCTCATGCACATATTACAGATGTTAATCATAACAGTGAAAACTGTTGCTTCCAGCCAGGACGAATCCCCAAATGACTGCTTAAACCAATCTAACAGCAGCTCTGTAAATGACATAATGTTACATCAATGGGCACAGAGAGTCTGCTGTAACTTATCTAATATTGCCATTGCTGTTAACTCTCACCCTTAAACACACATTAGCTAAAAACACCAACAGACCTAAGAGAGCCCCCCGCCCCCCATGCCAAAACATGTGAGGTCAGCGAGCATTAGCATGATTGACAGCTGCGCTCTTCACAACACATTCCTGAATTAGCTGAGGGGAACATTTCAGCTGTAACAGAGTTTTCAGACCCTCACATAGACACTACAGTAGGGCTCTAAGATGTCACAATTTTTAAACAGAACAATTTAATCATCTGGATGGAGAGTTAATTGGCAACATTTTTTTAAATGATTAGTTGTTTCAATTATTTTTCCAGCAAAAATGCCAAACGTGCTGCTTCTTTTGTCACGTATGGAATAACTTAAGGTTTTAGATAGTTTATTAAACTAAAAAAGCTATATGGAAGATGTCACCTTGAGCTCTGGGAACATGTGAAGGTGATTTTTTCACTATTCTCTGATATTTTATAGGCGGAATTATTAAATGAGAACATTAAGGCAAAATTTATTGATAAAGAAAATAAACTTTGCACCCTGATCTAAAAGATCATTGGTATTATATGGCATTAAAGGGAAACTACGACTATTTTCAAAATTCATACATGTTATTCCTATGGTCTAAAATAGTCCAAAAAAGTTACTGAACATGAACAACTCTCTCCCAAATCCAAAATCTAGAGTGCTAAACCTCAAATTTGTGATGTCATCAGGTATAAAGACTGGCGCTGCTCCACAGACAATGAATTGGGAAAGATGTTATAGATGACACTGAGAGCACTCAGGGGATTGTTCTGAGTATATGGGTACATTTTCTGTCTCAGAGATGGGCACACTACAATAGAAAAAAGATCAGTTGGGTATTAAAAAAAACCAACATACATTCTGTGGGCCCTATTCATCGTCTATGGAGAAGCTCCAGACTTTACACTTAATGACATCACAGGTTTCTGGCTTTGAGAGAGAGCAGCTCATGTTCACAAATATTGATTTAACTTTCTACGGCCATGGAAATAACACACTGGAATTCGTAGTTCAGGTGGTGTTCTCCTTTATTAACAGGGGAGTGGTCCATATACCCACAATTCTTAAGTTTTATTAGGCTATTGTGGGAAATATTACTATCAATTAGTGATCAATGAGCAGGACTGTTTGGTGGAAATATTGAATTTACAGCATGTTAAGATTAATGTGGGGAAGTACCTGGATTTTTCAGTTGTATTAGCCAGAAATATAAATTTGGAACAAATGGGTATCTACAGTTTCTAAAAACATTTTCTTATAATAACAGTATATATGGTTATGAAGACATCGAATTATATGAAAGAGAATTTTTATCCATCTCTTTTATCCAATTTGCTGAAAATGGTAAAAAAAAAAAAAAAGAAAAAAAAAAAAAAAGAGTTAAACCAGGGAAGTAAGCTCATTATTTTCTCCCGTTTTCTTTTCCATAGCTTCATTCTGTCAGAAGTTTTTACCCAACTGGAAAACAAACTAAACTCTGTTGTCACTGTTAATTCTGTAAATCCAACAAATCCACATTTCCTGTGGCAAAACTGGCAAACAGCATTCACACCATAAAGTCATGTGAGATGATATTTCTGTGTCGCTCGTCACCAAACTCTTCATTCACACATGGAGCACATCGTGTGAAGCCAAACTGTTCTGTAAGATCCCATCAACAATAAGACATATTACCAGTTAATGAAGGAGCTCTTTCCTGCAGAGTGGTTCCCCATTATCATCACAATGATCTTCTTTCTGGGAGGTAGAAGCCGCACTCCAAGGCTGCTGGCAATCTTCACCAGGCCTGAAAACACACAGACACATGTACACACACACAGAGTACGCAGGGCATGTGGCAATTACAGTGGCATCACAACTGAACGTGTGGAGTTGGAAGTTGGAAATCTGACTTTGGTGGTATTCCAGTTGAAATTTCCCACTGGGAACTTGGAAATTCTGACCTCTGAGTTCAAATGGAACACTCCAATTGTTGAGATCAAAATGGAGCCAGAGTTTTAAGTTGTGTGCCGTCCAAGAGAGGGGGGCCATTTGCCTTTTAATTGGTACCAAATTACTTAATTCCTTCCAAGAAACTTCCTCAGAAATTATTGAGCAATTCAGTGTTAACAACTGCATAAATTGAGCTCAGGACCAAAAGTTAAAATTTACTGTCTACTCTTATTTTGACTGTTTAATACTGATGCACAGTCCCTCATTATTCCGACTTCCCAATTCAAATGGAAAGCACCAATAACTGAGCTCAAAATGAAGGCTGAGTTTAAAGATGGGTACGGTCCAAGCAAGGGTGTAAGAAGTAGGGAGTAGAGAAGGTATGGGGCCATTTGCCCCCTCACTTGACCCATGCTCAAGTTGTGGATTGCTGTGTCATGGCTGGAATGATCCCATCACAAGATGGTCTCTGGTTCTCTGTAAATCTATAACAAGTTAGTGAAGTGAACCAGTTCCTGTTTCTGTCTCCTCTATTATAACAGAAATACCAATTATACTGTAATAATTCAGACAGGCCACAATAGCTTTCACATGAAGTATGAATAAGAGAAAAGTCTGCACAGCTTAGCTACACAGTGCAACAGGATTATATGGGCAACACAGTTCTCCAGATATTTACCAGGACCACTCCCTCTGTGCAGAGCAGCTCATTATACAGTGTATTACAGTAGGCTGTGTTAAAGTGCGCTGTCCTCATGTTTAAAACACAAATGTAACAGTGTACGTGATGAGTCCCGACAGGTTATTGGCTGAAAGGCGCTGCAGAGGAGCCTCACCAGTGTTCAATGTCATGTGTGACACTGACAGATAGCTGCTGCACACCACACACACTTTACACACTCACCGAGCAGCGTTTTAGTTTTAACCTCACTACAAACTTCAGTCCCGCTAAACACAAAGTTACATAACATCACAACTGTGCCTGCTTGTCTCTGCTCTTACGGTCCTAACTTGGCTGCACCGTTGACTCGTATTAATTCAGGTTATTGATTATTTACCGTTTTCGCTGTCGACATATAAACCGTGGCATTCTTTCAGTATCTTCTCGCTCGGTGTGGTGATGGCAGACTCCAGTGGGTTTGCCACAGACCGGGGCTTTCTGCCCGACATTATGGACACTGACACCAACCTGCCGCCTCTCTGCTGTTTCCTACACCGCCAGGGGAAGGCTTTTAGTGTTGCACACGGAGTCTCCTGTGCGGATGAAGTGCCCTCCTATGGCCAGACACTGACATGACACCCAGGACAGGTTCAGTGTGAAGAGGGGTGCATACTTTGTCTTTTTACTTATAGTAGGTACTGCAGCTGCCTTTAAAAAGTATGTACTGCTGTTGATTTTTAGAGTCTAGATTCATATCAGAGGACTAAACACTTACATATCTTTCAGTAACCAATTAAAACAATGGATGATTAATACATACACATGCAAGCACTGAACTCTTTTCTGCTGCTGCTGGTGTTGCAATATTGTTCTATATGGAAACATGTCACTACTGTCTTTAGTGCTTTTAAAAATTGTATTTTCTTTTATATTGTGTCGACTTTACCTCAAGTTTTAGCACTGAATCACAAATTTCACGATCATTCCATTCTTGTTACTAAAAATCATGTGAAAATCATGTCTTGTTGATGTGTTCAAGGTCTTTTATAATGTATGTCCTGTTTTCTTTTTTCTCTCTCACTTTTTCTTGTTTTGTGTGTGTTGTTTTTGTTTTGTGGTTTGTTGTATTTTAGGTAGCCTTGTGTAACATCTTGGCCAAGGGACTACAGATGAAATATAGTCTTTTGGCTAATTCTGGCATTTTTATACCATATGTATTCATTAATTTGCACTGTCCCTTCTTAAATAACTAAACTAAACTAAACATATTATATTTGTGACAGTAACATTACACAGGCTATAATTTTTCTCTGTCATTGCTATTTAATACTTATGGCCTTTTGCTGTTGTTTATATTATAATTATTTTATTCAATTAAACAATCTATATTCCTATTATTACTAATCGACGGGTCATCAGTCACCTTAATGCGCTGTCGTTCATCGTTGAGGCATCTGACAGCTGATTCTTTGTATTGTCAGCTGCACAGAGGCCAGAAAAGCATGCTGGCTTGCATACTGCAAAATCTAACTGGATGTAGTAGAACATCCTGGTATTTTTGGCATACTGCATTTGACATACTATTTATTTGGACATACTAAATATTTTTCTGGCACACTATATAGTATGGTAGTATGGGGATTGGAACGCACTGTTGACCCTTTGACCTGCATCAAAAATTTCTGGCTGGATTACCCTCAAGGGCCCCACAGGACCCCAGTGATCTGTGTATTATGCCATTCAACTAATTAGGGCTCAAACCCAAGGAAACTATAAAAATGTGACAGTTTCCTTGTTGAGGTAGAATCTTATACTATCTATCAATCTATGTCCATCTTGAAACTGTGCTGATTGTGTAGATCTTCTGTCCTGCCGGGTTGCAGATGTGTGTGACGCATCCATGTTTTAGAATTTGTAGCTTCATGGCTTCAAATGGGTCTGGACAGACAATGAAAACTGTAAACTGTAAATGCAACTTGACTGGTTCGCAGAGGCATACAGGCACAAGACAGTTATTCTAGTTAGACAGTATGTTAGTAAGTGTATTATAAAGTCAATATACTGAGTCTGGTTGCTCAAATATTTTTTGTACATTACACCCAAATGAGTTTTATTTGAACTGAGGGCTTCTAGCTGTGAATCACACAGTGTTCCTGGAGCTGCTACAGTCACATGAGTGTTTCTTTTATCTGGTGTCTGTGGAGCAGCTCATTGCCACACACTGCCTGCTGCCCACAAAACTTAACTGAGCATTTTTCAGGGGGACAACAGAAGTGGGAATGGGGAATAATGTGTTAACTCTATTTTGGGGTGGATTTTTACTTTAAAGCTCAAATGGCCAGGTGCTGGCATGACCACATTTTCAACGGCTCTTGCAGGATTAAAAGTTTTTGGCTGGTAGACTACTCCATTCTTGGGGTCATGCATGCAGAACGGCATGCCCTCAAAAACCCTGATAGTGCTTATGGGGTGATATTGGCAGAAATTGATGCTGAAAATATAAACTGTAGTTTTTCTTTATAAGACCTAAAGTTACTCAACATGATTTGATGATTTGGTGATTTCTTATAGTATTTTTCTATGACTTGACAATAACTATGATGGGAAAGCACTTAAAACAGGATATTTATATGGTCATACATGTATTTTTAAATATGATAATAACTTGTTATTGTAGTTCCTCTTTCAGTAATCACAATATATTCAACAGAATATTATTTTAAACTACTGAAAATGCTCTTTCTAGACAGCTGTATGAATCAAAGGTGCTCTTTCAGTCTCCAGTGCTCTACTGATCACAGTCTTTAGGCATATGAATGCAGAACTCTTTGGGGTCATGCCTATATGTAGAGTAAGAACTGGGTACATCAAGTGTCCCATTCATTTTATTTAGACAACAAAGGGTGAATAATATTTCTGTATTTGGGTCAGCAATCCCCCCCTTTAGCCTCAGCATGAGGCAGGAATGTGCTTTAAGGAGTTAATGAGTCCCCCCCCACAATAGGCTGCAGTTATGTAAGTGCTTCGGCTGAAGTGGAACATCCATTATAAACGCTTCATGCAAACATTATTTTACAGCAGCTTCCAAAATGAACTTCAGTGAGGAGCCTGCACAATCAAAGAGAAAGGTGAGTTCAAATCAACCCTCTGTGCAAATTTTCGTAACACCATGTTGTCTTTGTGGAGCAGAGTGTGCCTGGAAAGCCATCTGCCCAACAGATGTTGGGGTTTATTTCTTATTTGTTTATTGTTATACTCATTGCATGATGCTTAAATTAATAATGAGCAGTGCACAAATCAGAGTGAAGAAATGTAAATGTAATCAAATGTAGTCCATATATCATTAAAGGCACTCTTTATAAAGGGGTTAAAAGTGTAACAAATGGTTTATTAATTGTTAATAAATCTTTTCAATATGAAATGATAAAACAATATATTTCATGCTTTGCAGATCAAGAACAAGTTTTGGGTTGCCAGATTGTGAAAACTCTCTGGTTGCTGCTGATCCTTTGTGCTGTGCTTTGTATTAAGGCAGTTGTGAATACAAGTAATCCGTTAACACATATAGGTTTCTCACATAGCCTACAATCAATCGTGTCTTAGATAGTGATGCCAAAATATAGCCTGCAATAAAAATGATCCATGCCCTTAATATTTGACTATAACAACATTAAGATGTAACCTTTAAGCAGAGAAACCTCTGTCCAGTTTATCCATTAACCTTTTTAAATGATCATTCAGACAGAATGTAGCTGCTGTAAATGTTCACATCACTTCACTGAGTGCTCCTCTGAAGTATGAAGCACAGGGGGAGTCAACACTTTGTTTACTGCTGATTGTAGCCTATATTATCAAATTATTACAGTACATAAATTCTTATACTCTCAGCCTTTTTACATCTGCACATCTTCCAGGCCCATGTTGATTCACAGATATAGCCTATTTAGGGACTGCTCTTTACTTATCAGAAGATGGGGTGCTGCAGTGTGACTTTGTTTTTATAAGCTACAAATATTTTTCCTTGAGCATCACTGAGTGACTGGCAGAAAATGCATGACCCTTCCTCCACCACAAATTAGTTATTAGATTTTGAAAGTGTATCCTTTGATGTGTGACAGTTAAACATTGAAGACAAAATTCTGGAGTTTGGTTTTTAACTCTTGTGGTGTTTGCTGGTTAGTGCTGGTTTATTTTTGGCCAATTTTTAAGAGAGACATGTGTGATTTTGATGAAAAATCATTATATTAAGCTCAGATTTGGCTATGTGTTTTTTTCTAACTGAAGTGTTCGTAGCACATGATGCGTCCAAGGACCGCTGGAAAATTTGAAAATCCAAGTATTTCTGTTTTTACAATTTCTTGTTATAAAAGTTGTAATTTGGGTGATTTTTACAGACAACATGCCTTCAAACCTGGCATGTTTTCTTTAAAAATCTGGAATCTGTGGTGCAAAAACAAAAGAAAATGCAAAATACAACTATTTAAATTAGTTTGGTCCTCCCAAAATAAATAACACACAAGTCCCTCTCCTGTGTTTAACAGTGCTCTAGGGCTGCAATACAATCATGTGTAGCATCCTCACATACATCATGGCATGTAGACTAAATGTGTGGGGAAAAGAACAAAATATTTTTAAAATATTGTTACTGGAGAAAACAAAACAAAACCCAAAAAACTCAGGTTTTTGTGAGACTCGTGCTTTTACTCCCCATAGATCTCATAAGATACTGAATGAGGTCTGCACCACTGTTTGTCTCTCAGCAGCCAGTTTAGACCAATTTTGCGCACCAGCTTGTCTTCAATTGGTTAAATGTGCTCTTCTTCTGTCCTTTGGAGAAATAAAAGCGAGGTGGAGTTCACGTCTTGGTGCATTTGCGATCCGATGCCGTGAAATATTGATAAACACGGAATATTAAAGCGGATTGTCCTCAACTCGCGGTCACTTCATGACCACACATCACTTGTGTCATCCTCAGGAAAAGCTCATCCTCCCGTCGTGATTTAAGATTCCTGCTGAGAGGAAACGTTACGTGAAGGACTCTGTTATTTTGAGCAAAACTTGAGGGCCAAAATGCCGACAGAATTCACGGATGAATATCAGCCTTTGCTTATAAAAGAAATCAAAGATAAAAAGCAACCAAAGGTATGTGTATAATGATGAAGTAAGAGTTTAAGATTTAAAAAAGAGGATCTGTTGGTGCGATGGGATGCAGATTTTTATCCATGATTGAGTAAATATTTGTTTTGTATCTGTTTTATTGCAGTTTCCAAACAGAACACTTGTGCTGGCTGCGTGTGCTGCGTGTATTGGGGGGACCTTTCAGTATGGATATAATGTGTCTGTCATCAATGCACCCACAATGGTAATAATCCTACTATCTGTCACTGCATTGTTAATTGTGTACTCATGTTAGTTATTGCACATTAATGACACAATATACAGCACACATCCTGACACACTGATGTCTAATATGCATGCTCAAATATATCTTTTAAATACAGTAGATCAGGGATCAGTCATTTTTATTTCACCTGTTATATATGCATGT